TCGAGGTTTGGGCGAGGGGTGTTGTTGGTGTTGAGGTCGTGTTCTGTTGTTCGGTGTGAGAAGWACGTTTTTGTGGTGAGGGTGAGTTGCCACAGTATTTCTGCGGCAATGTCCCATTGGAAGTTGTAGATTTCGCTGAGTGAGGCGTTGTTGGCCTGTAGGACGTCGTGTATCTTTCGTATCTCTTGTGCGAGGGGGCAGTTTGKGGTGAACAGGGTGTTGAGGACCTGTATTTGGTTGTCRATCACGTCAATGACTTCGTATATTGTGCGGGGTACRATTGGTGTGTTCAGTTTTGCGCGKAGKACGTCGGCTGTGCTGATGGTTGTGGCTTCTGTGTTGAGGTGGCGTTGGTGTTCCGCRGCCGATATTTCTCTTGTGGTGCGGGCAACGTAGGCCATCGGGCCGAGGCCGGTGCGTCCTTGGGTGTGAGGGTCTGGGGCGAAGCGGAATTTTGCGACGTTGGCTGTCCAGTCGTGGTGTAGCCGGCCTTGTAGTTTGGGGAATGTTAATTTAAGAGGTTCGGTGAAGAAGTGTTCCACCTTGTCTTCGCGTTTTTTGTCTGATTTGAGGATTTCTTCCCATGCGTTCTTGTGGGTTATGGCGTGAAAGGTGTCGATTTGGGTGAGTGGCATTCCTGACCATCCGATAATGTTGAGGAGTTGGATGGGGGTGGCGGAGCGTTGTTGGGGGGCGGCTGGTTTTGGTGCGTTGATTATTGACGTGTAAAGGTTCATTTGATTTAGTTCTGCCGGTGTTGGGGTGGTTGTGAGGTTTGCTAGTAGGTTTTGGAGGCGCCGGTGTGCCATGGTGTGGATGTCGTCGGCCATGGAATGGATGTTGTTGTTGGGGGTGATTTGTGTTGGATTCCGGCGTGGGGGTGGGGTTTGGAACAAGGGGTTTCGTCTGTCAGTTTGGTTGGGGGGCGTCTCGTTGGAGTTGAGAAGGTTGATGGTTTCGGGATCCTCTTCGTTGGTATTACCAGTTTCGCCTGGWGTGGGTGGKTCTTCTGGGGCGAGGACGTTGTGTTCGATGAGGAGGTCCGTGATGGRTGTTGCTTCGTTGTGCCACAGGTCTTCAAGGTCGTTGGAGATTTGTGTGGACAGTGGCTGGGAGAAGGGGAGTGTGGGGGTTGTTGTTTTGAGGAGGAGGATGCTGGTTGTGGGGTCGTTGCTCTTTCTTGTGCAGGCGGCTAGGAGCCACTTCGCCGTTCCGGAGCTTCTTGTAATTGCTTTTTCTTGGAGCAGATRGCTTCGGAGYTTGTTTGGGTGGGTTGGTTGTTGGTCGTTGCAGTAGAAGTCGAGTAGCGATGGGGGGATTTCGCTTAGTAGGCTCTYGTTTTTTGCTTTTGCGGTTGCATGGGGTTTCAAGAACGGGATAGGGTCCTGGGTCAAGGCGTGTTCGGTTCCATTGGGTCCGTTGGTTTGAGGGCATCTGCGGTCCGCTTTGGTGAGCGCCGTACGGCGTTGGATGGTGACGACTTCGCATTTGCTTGGGTGTAGGTTGATGACATGGAGGGCGTTGCGGCTGTGGCCGAGGGCCATGACTGGGGAKACTCCGTTGTTGTCGAGGATGGCCTGGTAGAGGTGTCCTGGGATCCACGGGTCCTGGTTTTGGGGTGGTGGGTCCTGTTCTTTGAGGACGGCTACGATGGCGTCTCGGACGGCTGGTGCAAGGAGTGGCATGTTGGTGGTGGTTGTAGGTTTTTTGTTTTGTGTTGTACAAAAGTTATTTTATGGGCATTTGATGTTGGTTGATTGTTGTGGTATTGATTCGGTTAGTTCCATGTTCACAGGGTTTTGTGGTGTTGGGGTGGTTGGTTGTTGTGGTTTGTGGTGGTCGAAATTTGTTATCGTTCGTTKGTTTTTGGGTTTMGTGGCCGAACGTTGCCCGTTTTTGTTGTGTAACTGGGTCTTTTGTCTTGTGGGCGGTTGGTTTTTAGTCGTAGTTGACGGGATTTTTGGTGTGTATTTGTTGTGATGTTTGGATTGTCGGGGTGGTAGGGTTGGTTGGTGGTTATGGTTCGTGGTGTCCGTCCTTGGTGGCGGTTTGGCGAATTTGTATTTGTTTGGCGATTGTTTCGCATTTTTTTATTTGTTTTGGATTGGTGTGGTTTTGCTGTAGTCACACGGTGGGGGTGTGTTGTTGGTTTGTTTTGTATTTGGGCGTTCCGTTTTGATACGAGTGGGGCGTTCGACGCGGTGGGGCGTTCGACGGAATGTTCGACGCGTCGGAGCGTTTAATGTGGCGGAGCGTTCGGCGCGGCGAAGCGGCGAAGCGTCCTGTGTGTTATATTTGATGCTGTACGTTTTGTTTGGCGGTGATTCGTTGCATTTTCACCGGATTCCCTTGGTATTGTGGTGAGCTTTTGCTTTGGTAGAGTGGAGTTTGATGTGTCGGAGACTGTGAATCTTCCTCACATCATGTCTYATCCTACCGTGGCATTCTTTCACCGCAATACTTTCGAGAATGAGGTCAAGGCTTCTTGGGGTGTAAGGGCAGCGCATTGGTGGGGCTGCGGGCTTTCGCGGTGYTGGTYCGCATGGTTCCGTCTTTCGTCTGTCCGTCGTTTCCAATACTCAACGAGTTTCTGCATGCTTGAGTACAAAAAGGAGAAAAATAATACAGTAAATACTACGAGTATGAGAGCACGAGTACAACGAACCTCAAGTTGGAAAAACATTTGAGTTTGTTTGGTCTACCGTTGTGGCACTCGATAGAGAAACGAATTATTGTAATCGACAAGGTGAAAATGAAGTTTTCCATTGCTGTTCTGATCACCACCATCCTTCCTTTGTGCTCGGATGCATTTTTGCCCCGTCGCGTTTCTCGATCAGAACCATCGGTGCTGTTTGAGCAACCGCGCGTGTCCCGCATCGAAGGAAATCAACGAGAGCCTAACGACAATGAGAAGAAACTGATGGACGAGATGATCGTCAAGTTGGCAAATGCTAAACCATACGAGCTTCCAAATGCCGTAAGGAGAGCATTTCGTGTCATTTCCAGCCCACGATTTTTCATGCGCATCGCGGAGCTAACCGATAAGGCTGAAGATGAGGCGGAAAAGGAAAAGCTTGCGGCGTTTGCGTCGAATCTGGTCGCGACACTAGAGGTTGTAGTTGAAACAACAGAGGAAACTTTGGATGAGCGTGCAAAGGAAGTAGAAATGGTTCTAAAAGCAGCCGCCGAGCCCGAAACTGGAGACTTCTTGGTCCCTCTCTTGCCAGAGCAGGTACAAGGGATGAGAAAAGTAGTCGAAGGTTTAGAACCGTCGTCTTTAGACGAGGGATTCTTGTCTACAGTGGATGCATTCATGAATAAGAGTCACCAAGATGGAATGGTGCGTGTGTGTGATTTCCATTACAAGTGGGGTTAGGCTGTTTGAATTTTGTTTTCAACTATTGCCACAGCATGCTGTGGCTTGTGACGAACATCATTGTTACATTTTAGCGAGATTCGTCGTCTTCACTAATGAAGATAATATTTTTCTTTTTTATTTTCGCAGGATGGTATGGTTGAGATTCTTCAAAAATGCTTGCAACAATATAGTGGAGTTTGTATTTTGCGCGCCCGAAAAAGTACACAAGAAGGTGACGATGGATCTTCTTCCGAGTCTAGCAAGCTTTTTGATAAGCTCCTGCAAGTTGATACTGACAGTTGGGATGACGAAATTAAGAATGGAGTAGCATCTTCGGACGACGTGACAACTCAGAAACTTACGACCGAAATTCAGAAGACAATGGTACGTAACAAAATCTTGCTTCGAGGAATATGACGATTGTCACTTCTAGATGGATTTTCTTTCTGTTAATCAAGCTATATGGTGCTCAATGTGACACACAATGACCTGCATACGTCTTATATTGAATATTATGGATTGATTGTGTGGTTGTACTTTAGGAAACCGTGGTTCTTGGATTGGAAAATGGTAGCATGGCACAGCGCGTACAAGCTGAATACTTGCGAGAGCTAGTTACAAGAGTTGAAGCCATTGAAGCTAACGCTTGAACAGCTAGATAGAAAGATCTTATTTGCCCCGTGAACGACCGAAGAAATCCCAACTATGGGTAAAGAAGTTGTAGTAAATCTTAAACTGGGCATAGTGCTATAAGATATCCTTTTAGTAAATATGCTAATTGGATAATTTCGTGTTGAACCGTGGGCAAAATCTTTGATTCCACAGAAATCGTCCCAAGCCTTCGACTCCGAAGGTCCGAAGGTAATCGATTTCATAGTTAACCTGGCTCGAAAGTTTTGGTTATTTACCCGGAATTCTGTCGCGTAGGGTAAACCAACTAGTTATAAACAATTATGTATTTGTATATTGGAATTTTTTCAACGCAAAGAATGTTGCAACCCGAGCTAGGACCAAGAAGAGTGCAAGAATCAGGACGTCTTGATAAGTATTGTCATTATTGAACTTTTCGCCAAAGAATACCCAGACGTACTGTTCCACAGATCCTTCGCAGGTTTCTCTGTCATCAATCCGGTCACACCTTAGCCAAATGTAAAAATCACTCCCTTCGGTGGCAATCACTTTACGCTGATCACCCCAGTATTGAGAGAGAATGAGTCCCTCATACACGAAGTGGCCTGGTGTTATCCAATACGTAAAAGCAAAAATGTTTTTCATGTACTGAGGTCTCACAATGAGACCAGAAAAGAAGTTATTCAATCCAATAAAAACACTACAGAGGATTTGCGCTGTAGCCATGGTGGGAACAAGGCACATAAAAGCTTGTCCAAAATAAGAGTAGATTGCGAGGTTGAAAGTAAAGAAGCCCTGAAAAAAGAACGAAAAGTTAGAGAAAACCAAATTCAACTGTACGCGACCATCTCCTATTTACCTATCCTTACCCAAAACTTGAAAGCCCTCATGAAGGTGACTGGAAATGATCCCGCCGTAGAGAGGTAGACTAAACAAAATAGGAAGGAAGCCAGCACTATGAAACCCATTTCTGCCACTCCTAAAGCCCATCCAACCGCGTCATTATCAATCATTCCGGCTGCAAGCTGCTTGTAAAATACGTCTCTGATTGCCAGCATCACTGGCAAAACAGAAACTATCGAAAGGATTCCGACGATGATGAAGGACAAGAAAGTGATTGAGAAATACGCCCTCATTTTATCTTCCGTGAGCACTTGTAAATTTCGTTCGGTGACAAACACGGAACCTAATATGAATGCAATTACGACGCAAACCATAAGCCGTGCAAGATTGTAAGCAGGTGACCGCCAGTATATCGTTCGGAGCCGCTTATTGGCCAATTTTTGGCGTTCAGAACGAGGTACTGCAAACTCTGTCAAATAAGCAACCTTGAGTTCCTTCGGGGGATCTACTTTGGCAGCAGCAATTTCATTTGTAAGCTTGGAATATTCTGAAGTCTGAATATATACATCTGCAAAGTCTTCGTCGCATTCTGGTAAGACTCTTAACATCCAATTGGCAGGATTGTCTCCAGGCTTTATTTTTGTTGCTCCGTACGCTTCGAAATACTTTATAAGAGTTCTACTTTGAAATCCAAGTTCTCCAAAGTATACCGAGCGCCCTCCTTTCTTTAGCAGCAAGAGATCGTCCTGCAAACACGCAATGATAGAAGAAGTGAGTGCATGCCACCTATCTGATTGTTTTAGTTGAAACAGCTATACTTACAAATAATTCAAAAACCGCAGACGAGGGTTGATGGATTGTTGCGCATATAGTCCTGCCTTGGTCGGCGATTTTTCGAAGTAATTTTACGACAAGTGAGGCACTTCTTGCGTCAAGACCAGTTGTTGGCTATGCGATATGTACGACAAGGGAAAAAAGTGGAGAAATGGTCGTTGTTAGTTATCTTGCGAACAAGCAGAAAAGAGCTGCCTTTGACAAAAAATGCACGAAGCCAATTTTTTCTCACCTCGTCCAAAAACAGAATTGAAGGAGATGCAGCAAGCTCTACTGCAATTGAAAGTCGCTTCTTTTGTTCAAAGCTAAGACCCCCTTCTTCGTCGCTCCCTACCAGGCAATGTGCTAGTGGCGTGAGTTCAAGTATCTTTATAACCGTGTCGCAAAACTGTTCCTTCTCTTTATTTGTCTTCACTTTGGTGGAATCCAATCTCAAAAGTCCAGAAAATATCACAGTTTCTCTTACAGTGAGCTGTGGTGATTGAATATCAAACTGCTCTACATAGCCTGAACATCTACGGAATGAAGACTGCTCTTGTGGAAATCCATTGATACGTATGTCTCCAGCAACAGTACCCGAGTTTTTCCTCAAGGCAATCACATCCATCAAAGTTGTCTTTCCTGCACCGCTTTCACCCATCAGTGCACACATCCGACCAGCCCTAAAGTGGCCATTGATGTTATGAAGTAAACGAATATCTTCGTCACCAGTCGAAGCCTTCACGTCGTAACAAATGTTCTCGAAGCTGAGGGTGATTGGCTTGAATGGAATACTCACGTCCTGGCTATTGCTGGTTTCCTCGTTCTGTGATTGTTTGCTGAGGTCCGTATCTTTCATTTCGATTGACTCAAAAGATGGCGGAGGCTTTTTATGAACCCTAACTGATGATAGGATTATCGCTGATGTCACTACAGACAGTAAAATATGTCCACACATGAAAATGTATGCCCAAGTGATCCAATCTCTATCAAACGGTTTGTTGTCAGCATAAACAAATCCGGTGCGTTTAAGGATCGCATCTGCCTCTTCCTCCATGTAATCCCCATTCCGGAATGCGTTTATAATTAGTGCACGATATGCCCATGCAAGAGGGTTATACCAATAAAGCCATTGAAAGTAGGATGGAATTGTGGTGGGAGGTATGAAGAAGCCGCAAAAGAGCATGAAAATGAAGACGATACATGCGCTTGCTGTTTGCACCATCGAACTAGTTGAGGCAAACGTCGAAAAGATGAATAGGAGCTCGGACATCAGAATGTTGAATACAAGAACAATTCCAAAAAACACGAAAAAATACTCAGGTTGCGGTGCAAGTCCAACCATGTAATACAGTATTGTGCCAAAAATTGTGCAATCCAAAGTCGTCTAAATCGAAAAGGTAGAAGACGAGAAACGTAAGAAATAACAAGAGTCTGAGAATTGATAGGATTGCAACACGCTACTCACTTGCGGTAATTTTGACACTGCCTTGGCAAAAACGAAAGAGAAGGCACCATAATAATTTGCATCATTCTGTTTGTAGTATATGAGCCGTTCGCTCACAAAGGATGGGGCTGTAACCATGCCCCCAAGCATCACAAATAGCATACCCTGAAAGAGAACTCCTAAGATCGATATAACATCATCTGTTTGATAAAATACACCTCCAACGCTTACACCCATGATGGAGTTCTTCACAGCATTTGCAATCAATACACGTTTGTCGCGTCTCCATAGTGTTAATTGGCGTTTCAAATTCAGCCAAAAACAAACGGCGAAACTGTTCTGATATTTTGCAACGTATTTCCGGTCATCTAAATATTCCTTGTCATCCATGTCCTTCGTCGATTGATGTTCATTCCTACGGGAACTACCCCAAACATAATTGCTTGGTTCTTGGAGGTGCATATTGATCCGTTCTCCCAACCGACTCTTTCGGAATTCCTCAGCCAGCTCGTCGAGAGTGAAGGCATTCGGTCGAACTTCAGCAATAGCTGGTGGAGGGTTGTACAAATCTGCTCCGTCAGGTGTGGAAATAAGTTGAAGGAAATCCCCAACATCCATATGCACTGGAGCCACATACCCGAGAGAAGCAAAATAACTTTCTACTCGTAATATAGATCCCGCGTACAAGATTTTTCCTTCCCCCAATAAAATAACCTCATCAAACAACGACACTGTTTCGGGACTGGGTTGAAGCAGCGAGATCACTTGTAGTTTTTCTCTGATCTTGCCAATGTAACTCATCGCTGTAATGATTTCAAATGTGGATCCAGCGTCGAGTCCGTTTGAGATCTCATCACCGCATATAATTGGTGTATTGTTCATCAACATCTCTCCTATTGTCACACGGCGACGCTGGCCCCCACTTACACCTCGAATCTCGTCGTTCCCAACAAAAGTGTCTCTAACGTGATCTATTCCAAGTAACTTGATGTAAGTATCGACTAAGAGATTTTTGTTGTCGGCCCTCTTGGCGAGCTCTCGATTTTCATGAGTGTCCTCCTGGAATCGAAAATCAATGTGAGTACCATTGCGACGTTTGCACCGAAATCCAAAATTAAATGTTTCTTCAACAGTATACCTAGGAGCATGGCGGTCCAATTGATCTATAATGGAGATTGCATTCTCGTAGTGAATACCAGGTCTGTTGTAGAACCCTTTGCTATCATAAAGTTCCATCCCATTGTACGTAACACTCCCTTTCAACTCTTCTTTTCCCTTGTGATAAAGACGACCAGCAATAGCCTTGAGGAGAGACGTCTTGCCAGATCCCGGTGCGCCAAGTAGCAAGTACCTTCCATCAGAATGTGGCAAAAGAGAAAAGGAAAACATATCAGTGACGTCACTTTCCTCTTAGCATTCGTATCTTTCGAAGTTGATCACAATTATAATACAATGACGCTTTTGTCCTTACATTTTCCCAGGTTCCAGGTAAAGCGAAATTTTGCTTAGTACATGTTTTGTATAGGTAATATTCTCGGATTTTGGTTCTCTTGCAGTTTTTGCCAGACTCTTTAGTGTTTCGATTCCTTTATACAAAGGGCTCGAATTATAAACGGTTGTTATCTTGGTGGAGGCTTCGGTATACGGCACAGAAAAATTAAGATTTTCTATTCGAACTTCGACAGGAAACTTTTTAATGAGATGGGAATAGTCGTCAAATGCTTTCTGCAGGAGAAGAATTCCCTTCGATGTATTTTCTGCTGCCTTTTTTTGTACATCAGACAGTATCAATTTACTTTCCTCAGAGCTAGATCTGGAATCAAAGGATTTCATCACACCCTTCTCCATCCCAGAGAACTTCCCATCATTGGTTATTCTCGCTGCTACGGCTTCATTTGGTGGAGTCTTATCTGTCAAACMAGAAAGTTTGTCGACATATTTATTCACAGCTTTTTTCTCGAGCACGAGGCTGGAAAGGTGGGATTGTCTCCGAGTCTGACGAGGAGTTACGTCGGCCTTGTGGTCATCTTGTTGGTTCTTCTCCCAACTATTCGATGCATACAAGAAGAATCTTCCGTCCCCCCCCCTGACCTTTTGTCTTTCTGAACCAGAAGATGCACTGTCTTCAGTTTCCAAACCAAAAGAGGACCTGCTGGAATTACTGGAGCAGCGTATGCTGCTTTCGCCAGGAGTTGTGAATGGTGGGGAATTTTCGTCGGCTGCCTTCTCAACTTTGGGTACTTCTCCCGACGACATGATATTGGTTCTTTATTGCTTCGTCTACCTCCTAAGAATCTCCTCTGCAGTGAATCGAAGGACCTTGAATTGAGAATGGTAGCAGATTGTCGTCGCACTTCGAATCGGATAGTTTTAGTACTATGATGTGCGCAATTGCAGTACGACTTTAAGTGCAGAAAAATGAAAAATCTTTCGTTTGAGTCGGAATCAAGCTCTTTGTTTCGCTTCATGGAAAGTAGGATCAGTTCTACCGTACAGCACGAGTAGTACGAGTAAGTACAAGTTAGTTAGTAGCATTCGACAACGTGTAGGTCGAATCAATCAAGCTACTTGGCCCAAACCTTAAAAATCAAAACCAGTCCAACTTTCAGAAAGAAAAAGAAGAACCGGTTGCACCGGTACTACAATACGGTACAGTACTCGTACCGGTACGTACGTACCTTGCTGTACTTAGGTCCGGACGAAAGTGCAAACTGCAAACTTGCACTTGAGGTACCTCCTCACAGTACAGTACATAATTTAGCTTCTTATTTGTCTAATGTACGGTACGGGAAAAATGTTGTCGTGTGCTTTAGAATCAATTTTCTTACGAAGTATGGTAATGCTGTGGTAATGTACGTACGATTAGTACGCCGGTATAGTACAGTACTCTTACTCACAATGTTCATAGTTCAAACGAATTCAATTCCAAGGAGTTTAGACCACGGACCACGGTCTACGACATCAGACGTATGTACCAGTACTCGTAGTATGTATTCGTAGTTACTTTTTCTACGTTGTCGACTCACACGACTGAGAAAAAGTGATCCGTTACCTCGTGCGAACGGATCGCCCATTCCATCTTTGCTCGGATCGCCAGCCTTGCCGGCGCGTATTTTTTTCCGATATTAGACTTTTGCCGTTTCGAATGCTAACGCACTAAGCTGGCTGGCGGCGGGGACGTTCAGCATTCTTTTTTCCTAGTCTAGCAGAACGAGGTCGAACATCGATACGGAATAGTGCGTACTGTACTTTACGAGCTTCTACGAACCGTACCGGTAGACTAACGACACTGTAATAAATTACTTCGTCAGTATTTGTGCGATAAAAAGTCGTGCTCTCTTCGACCGTAACGACGTTGTTCATCTGTGCCTCATGATACAGAGGAAAACTTGACCATCATATATCACATACCCGCTGTTACGCCTCGATAAAGAATAGAAAACGGCAAGATGGCGAAGTGGTTCCGTTCGGAACCGATGGAGTACATCTCCCTCATCATGAATGAGGACGCTGCTCATGACTGTCTGGGAGACCTCGGAAAGTTGGGAGTCATTCAGTTCACTGATGTACGTTAGGGAAATGAATACAATGAATTTGCATTGAAGTCGCCGATGTTGCACAATAGGAGCTTATTGGTTGGAATCAATTCTTTATTTCTCACCTTTCCATTTCGTATACGTGTAATGTCTCTTATTTCGCATGAAAACGGAACGAACACGAACTAAACTTTTACATTTAATATTCGCAGTTGAACCCCGATTTGACCCCCTTTCAACGACGATACGTTTCGTATGTGAAGCGCTGCGATGAGTTGGAGCGCAAGCTCCGCTATTTTACGAGCGAAATCGGAAAGTTTAACATCGAGTGCGATTCCGCAGGAAAGGTCGACGACTTTTTGGAGGCCACTCCCATCATTTCCAGCACGAGCGCCGAAGCTTCCACTGGAAAGGTCTTGGAATCGTTGGAGGCGGAACTCGAGGGATACGAAACCCAGCTGAAAGAATTGAACTCCTACAGCGAGAAGCTCACTGTTGAGTACAACGAAAAGATTGAATTGCAAGAAGTCTTGGAAAAAGCCCGTCGATTTTTCATCACCGACGCCCCTCGTTTGGCTGTCAGCGAGCTGACGTCCGGACAGACGCCTTCCAACAAAACTAACTTGTTGGAAGAGGAAGCTCGACCGGACCTTGATATGCGTTTCTCTTCGATCACAGGTGTAGTTTCTACCGAGGAACGCACCAACTTTGAACGTATGATTTTCCGTGCCACTCGTGGTAACTGCTTTGTCAGATTTGCTCCCATTAAGCAGCCAATTACTGACCCAGAAACTGGACAGCTGACTGAAAAGTCCGTCTTCATCATCTTCTACAAGTCTGATTCCATCGAGTTGAAGCTCAAGAAGATCTGTGACGCCTTCCAAGCTCACCGATACAGTCTTCCCGATATGGACGATGCTGAATCTGTTGACAACATGCTTACCGAGAATGCCCAAGAACTCGTTGATTCGCGTACTGTCCTTTTGAAGAACCAAGATACTCGCTACCGACTGTGCCAGATGCTTGCCAAGCACTGTGAGCGTTGGACATGGCATGTCTTGAAAGAGAAAGCTGTCTACCACTCTCTCAACATGTTCAAGGCAGATGTTTCCGGCATGCTCCGAGGAGAAGGATGGGTCATTGCCGAAAACCTTGACGAGGTTAAATATTGCATCGAAAAAGCTCACGCCAACATGGACATGGCAATGCCTAGTCTTATTGACCATGTGCCTCAACCTTGGCCGACTCCACCAACGTACTTTGTGACCAATAAGTTCACTTATGCGTACCAAGAGTTTGTCAACACATACGGTATCCCGCGTTATAGAGAAGCAAACCCTGCACTTTTCACTGCGGCAACTTTCCCATTCCTTTTCGGAGTCATGTATGGAGATATTGGTCATGGTATGTTTTTGTTCCTCAACGGGTGCATGCTAGTTTGGAACGAGAAAAAGAACGAGGGTGTCAAGAGAGACGAATTGTCGGAAGGTCTTCATGTAGGACGGTACATGATCCTTATGATGGGATTTTTTGCTGTCTATGCAGGTTTCGTGTACAACGATTGCTTTTCTCTCGGTCTCAATCTCTTTAAGAGTCGTTGGGAATTCGATGGCCAGGACGAAATGACAGTCGAAGAAGGCGACGTCGCCTACCAGACGGCTGAGTATGGTTCGAATGAATCTGTTTACCCATTCGGTTTAGATCCAATGTGGCATGTCACCTCGAATGAGCTACTTTTCTTCAACTCTTTCAAGATGAAGTTAAGTGTTATTTTTGGTATTTTCCAGATGTTTTTCGGAACTGTTTTGAAGGGTTGCAATGCCATTTATTTCGGAGAAAAACTCGACTTGTATCTCGAAGTACTTCCAATGGTTGTTTTCGCAGCTTCTTTGTTTATATACATGGTGGTTTTGATCTTTATGAAGTGGAGTATCGACTGGAACGAACGCATGCTTCTCGCGACCTGCTTCGATCCTGACGGCGACTATTGGAATGCTGATTGGACCGTCTGCGACCAGTCTGGAAATGGCTACTGTACACCATGGGGTTACAGCTGTACTGACTATGATACTACCGCTGACAAGTGTCCTCTTGATTACGGTGGTTCTGGAGACGGATGTCAACCTCCGAACTTGATTACTTCTCTTATTAACATTGCCCTCGCACCAGGAGATGTCGACGAGCCTTTGTACGCTGGTCAAGCCGGAGTCCAGAACTTCTTACTTCTTCTAGCATTGGGCTCTGTTCCAGTTTTGTTGTTGGCCAAACCATACATGTTGAAGAAACAGCACGAACAAACTCACCACGAGCACATCGCTGAAATGCCCGACGGCGACGAAGAAGAACACGGCTTCGGAGAGATTCTCATTCATCAAGCTATTGAAACTATTGAATTCGTTCTTGGAATGGTTTCAAACACAGCCTCCTATCTTCGTCTTTGGGCTCTTTCTCTTGCACACTCTGAGCTTGCCACTGTCTTCTGGGAGAAGTGCATGCTCAGTACTCTTGGAGTGAACTGGTTTGCCACCTACCTTGGTTTTGGATTGTTTGCCGCTGTCACCTTTGGCGTCTTGTTGATGATGGATGTGTTGGAATGTTTTCTTCACGCACTCCGATTGCATTGGGTTGAATTCCAGAGCAAGTTCTACAAGGCCGACGGTATTCGCTTTAGCCCATATTCATTCAAACAGATCATTATTGATTCTGCTTAAAACTAAGTTGGAATTTGAGTTTTCCAGTCAAAAAAAAGTATCGGCTGATACTGGATTCATTATTAGACGCACTTTATCAATCTATCGTTACATCAGAACTTTTCTTCACTGTTTGCTTTCCCTGTTTTTGTGCGTATTTAGCCGCTTTATCTTCCAGTGCGGTAGTATGGTACGGTAGCTGTTACCAGCACTATCAGAATTAAAGATCTGTAGTTAGGTTCTCGTAGAATTTATGTCTGTACCAAGCCTTGACGTCTCTTTTTCCCTTGCATCTATACTTGTAGAAGTACATCGGAAAGCACATTAAAAAGATTAAAAAGATTGAGCCAATCATACGGTAGGCCTGAAAACCAAATTAAAAGACTGTTTCCGTGCATTCTCAAACTCGGAGGGTGTTCAAAGCACATCGAAGGAGATGGGTCCGAGTAGTAAGGTACTCGTACCCGTACTATCTTTTGCCGATTGCAAGTAGAAGTACAAAAATAGCTCTTATCAAGAGGTCTTCTTCGATTCAACAAGGAGCTCTTGAACGGTCATTGAAATTTCATACTGTGTGTGACGTGTTTTGATTTTCTTTAAAGCCTCTTGGTATTAGCTTAAGTCGGAAAATATCACATTGAAGCTTTTGTTCGCCAGATTTTTTCCGGCCCATCGAATTATCAAACCAACAGAACAAGAATAGCAATCCGAAGACGCACCAATACTCATGCCTACGACTAGCCGTACAGAACAATACGAGTGCGTGCCCACTATGATTGTGACAAAGCAAAATGTATCGCACTGATCATGAAGAATTTCGAACAGATGAAAGTATGGTGTATCGGTGTACGAAACTGCATCATGGTTCGCTTGTACTTCCGTAAAAATTCTCCACCTTTTTTTGTTTCGCAGCTTTCCATACGTTACAAACTAAGTCAACAAAATAGGTCAGGCCCGAGGTTCAGAAGTAGACCAGCTGTCAAGGAAACTACAAGATCGATTGCTGTTGGTTGATAGGATCAGTTCCATTTCCAAATGAAGTAGCCGTGCCGCAGCGTTATGCCAACCAATTTTTATTGCATTTTTGAAGGATACACAAAAATACTTCATGGCTGGTTTTAGTGTCGATCATGGCGCAATCATTAACAAGAATAGATGATTCTCGTGATATATTACAACTTATGATCCGCCAAGAGGAAAGCTATTACAAATGTCCACACTATCTTTCCCTTGAAGAGAGAAGCACTCAAACTCTGGTATTTACACCCGTTCCTTCGGTTCTTCAAGTTGTTGAAGAGATGGCCAGTTTGGTTACCGACATTCGAGCCGAACCTTCTATGAATTGCAAAGGCGACGACCACTGCGCATCGCCCGGTAGCAGTACTTGCGATCTTTACGGAGATCTCCGAGCTCCTCTGCGAGCATTCTTGCCAAATTCCCGAAGTGAGCAGTTTCAGGAAGTTCTCTCGCTGAGCTCGTGGAGACATCGAATGCTGGAGTGGGGAAACGCGGTTTGCGTGACGTTCGGCATCGATGCTTCTGTTTTGGAATCTGCCTTCAATATTCTTGATCGTTACATCGCTGTGGAGATCTCACATTCTAACGACGCGTTCGAAAACCTATCTTTGACACGGGAAGACTTTCAACTGTTCAGTATGGTATCGATCTACATTGCCGTCAAGATGTTCAGTCGCAACCAAAACTTGAGGGTGCACGACTTGCTAGAGATGGCACAAGGATTTTATACAGCAGATCACATCACGACAACCGAACGTGATATCTTGGAGGCTTTGAACTGGCACGTCAACCCTCCGACGGTAATGGATTATTGCGACGTCTATCTAACCCTATTTCCTCAGCACATCTATGGATGCTATGGGAACGATGCGTATTCGCCGGCATCACAATGGTCGTCATCGAAACGAGTGGGGGAAAAGCAACGACGGAAATGCAGGTGCCGGTGCCAATCGATGGTCGGGATAGTCCTGCATGACGTGTTCTTCGTGGACAAGCCCAATTTTCTGACTGCGCTAGCGGCGGTACTCTTGGCCGCCGATGCCTTTCGTGGTTGCGCACGTGACAACTCATTCGTTCTGGAACACTTTCTTAGAAACATTCAGGGCGTTGTGAACATTCAAAAAGAAGAATTCGATTCCATCATTCGGCGTCTCGAGTGTTACTGCTAGCGTGTTTTGGTCACTCGAGCTCATCGGAAGTGCCTCCGGGATCGTCGTAAGGGTCAAGGCTAGAGAGAGCAACAGGTGTGTCTCCTGGATGAACAAAAACATCTAGAAGAATATGCTGTCCAGTATGTTTCATGTCTCGATATTCATTGTATATTGTATATTCAATATTACAAGGTTTTTTACCCATATTGATACTACTTTTTTGTTACTGTGACAGTACAAATCGTCTCTTCACACCCGTTCCTGTGCTATAGTACGCTGCGCTCTCTTTCTCTATTTCGGTAGTTTTAGTCGTCATGTTCGAAACTCGAGATTTGATGGCTTCCCCTCCAACCGGTCGCGGACGTGGTTCTCGAGGTTTGTCATCGAGGCCAAGCTTTGCGATCGTCCAACCGTCGTAATCCCCTCGACCAATTCTTGTTCGATGCGCTGGATGGTCTGGGCCACCGGAACAAGCTCGAAAAAGGCTTCCGGTGCCCCCACGATGACTCCATCGTTGTCTCCCACAACAATGTCGCCCGGACGGACCTCGATTCCACCACACGTCACGACCGAGGGTTGCATTTCTCCCGGAGACTGGGTCGTTCCCGAGTACGGTGTTGTACCGGTGGAGTATATTCGCATTGCCACCGGGGCCACCGAAGCAGGGATCCCATCACCGCCGGCGGAAGCCTCCCCGTGACCGCACCCATCACTGGTGCCGTCGAGGTACGCTGTATCCCGGACCGGTCCATCGATCACGATCCCGGCCAGCCCCTTCCTCCTGGCTTCCGCGGCAAAAATCTCCCCCGCGACGGCGCGCTTGGAGGACAACGTGTTTACCACCAGCACCTCGTCCGCCTTCGCCTCCAGCGCCAATGCCCGCATCACCGGGAGAAAGTCGTCGGGCTCCGTAAACGCTACGGTCCGTGCCACCCCGACCATGACGTCTTGTGTGCCTGTTCCGAAGCGATTGGGTTGGTTCATCGGTCGGATAGTGCTGTTCATCAGCTTGATCTGGACGGCGTCGCGACCGTCGTCGTCGGTTCTACCGGTCGTGATGGTCTTGTGCGCATCGCAGAGAGAGGACGTGTCGAGCTCCCGAAGATCCCGAAGGAGGAGTTTCACCGAGGAGGTGGTGGATTCCGAGTGAATCGGGCGATTATGAATGCGTGCTGCAGAGCTTGTTCGAATATTCGTCACTATTCGATTGGAGACTGCTGTGGTCACTGCTGTGGTTGCTGTTGCCTTTGCGAGGTGCTGCACCGTTTTTGTTGTCAAACGGGCGGCGATGGGATTTGCCATCATTGCCATGCAAGATTGTAAAGTCTTCGAAGCGACTGGATTTGCGACTAGTAACCGTGAAAATAATTGGTGCTATTCAATTCTTCTTAGACATCAATGGTCAGAAGGAAGCACAGCAAAAGTTGGCAACCGATTGCAAATCACAACTTGATCATGACAAAGAATCGTTGAGCTTGTTTCGCCCTATTCGGTATCCTATGAAACCTTATGGCTAGGCTTCATACACACATGCTTGTAGTACGGTACGGTGCCTACGGTGCCTCATGTGCAAAAGTACGTACGAGTTCGAAAATAAAGCCAATGGACCATCGACCATCGATGTTCGGATGTTCAAAATTGATTTTGACCAGTGCTTTCTCTTTGTGTACCTTTGGGGTGTGGGGTATTGTACAGTACGGTAGGTACGGTACCCTGTACGTACATTCGTACTTCTTCATACTAATTCCCCCTTTTTATTCGTGCAAAATCCCTGTTTTTAATCGTGCAAATCCCCCACTTGTGGTTTCGAAGGGTGCTTAGTTTTTTAGCGATTCACTTTCGTTTGTGCTTCAGAGTTTCATTCCCACGAAGCAAAAATGGGAAATGGGACCGCGCACGGTTAAAGTATCACAGCAGTACGATTTTGTCGTATGGTTTTACGGAACAACAACGTATGGCACATGCGCTTGCTCATGATGCCATTGGCGACGAATGCAATCCCACATGTTGGTATCGAACAGCATTTCTGCATTCCACGAATAAGAAAACGATCTCTCGTACAGTTTATTACGGAACGCAACCACCGTTCATCATTCGTTTATTTAGTCACCGCCAATCATCTTCCATCAAAGCCAAAGCCAAAGCGAACGAATCTTCTCAGGAGATAGAAGGTGGACACACTACAGTATCAGATTGCGATAACGCACGTACAGCTACCAGGTGGTCTCCTTACTCATACAAAAACGTGCGATACGAACTCATACTTTTTCTCAAACAAAAATATCCTTGAAGCAAGGAAAGAAAGACCTATCCATCATTTCATATTATTGAAAAAACCATCACACCAACTCCATATTTTACGACATTTTCAGTAAAATGACAGCCAGAACCAACTGTGATACAACATCTTGCTATCCCCTCTCCAAAATGAGCAACAATGCTATGACTGTAAACCATCGCGATGCAAAGAGTTCGCTTCGAAAGCAGAAGAACAGAGCATGGGCAACAACGCACGGCAACAACAAGTACTTCAGAGACCACAATCGACGCAGCATTGCCACTAGCAGCTCGAGAAAAGGAATGCCCGCATCGAGCCGTACCGGCACACTGGCAAAACCGCGCCACATTTCGAATGCGAAACGAGCCGTGTCGCTCCCCGCCGATCTCCGCAACACCACGGCACTAGCGACAAAGGATCTGTTCTGGTTTCTCCCCAAGCGCAAGCACCGCCAAACGCACTGTAGTGAAAGCGACGATCCCTACCAAGCTCCTCGTTCGCAACAAAGACATCGGCGGCACTGCAGTGAAAGCCACTATCCTTGCAAAGCCACTGATGCCGCTGTTGTTGTAACAGATACTAGACTAGTCGAATGCGGAAGAACAGAGCTACACAGAAGTCACTTTCGAGCCTTCGATGAATTCAACGGAATGACTGCGCACTGCCGAGAAAAAACATCATCAAGCGGAAACAAATTTCGCCTTAGTCCTCTAAAGAACTTAAATTGGAGCGGTGATTACTTCGTTGACACGGCAGACGAACATGATTTCCCACTTTTGGGGCTTGAGATCATGGAATCGGTAACAGAAAACGAGATTGAGAAGGAAAACCAAACTAAATTTATTCGTCACCAAATACCGAAATAGAGGACACAACTCTCCATATATTTTGCATATCAACGAAAGAAACGTAATTCAATTTTTCATTTAGCTGGAGTTTTTATTCTATCCAATACCCATTCTATGTACTTTACTATTCGAATGATGTTTTTCTCTCCTTGTTTCAGTGTACCGTAAATAAATATTCACGACTCCTTGCTCTCTGCTCATATCTTAGACGAGACTAAACCCCTTCGATTGGCACATAGTCTGAAAGCTCGAAGCAAGCTTCAGGTCGGTACTGAGACCTTGCTGAATTAATGGGCTTAAAACTCCAGGGTTCGATGCACTCAAATTCCTCAAGGCGCTGAAGAAAAAGTCAGTGGGGTCGGGCACGGCTTCGAAAGCGTCGACAGGAGGCCGCTGGGCGAACTTCAACCGTGAAAATGTTGCATCGTACACCATGGGCCCTTCATTTTGAACATCTTTCTCTTCTTTCGTAAAGGTTGAGGACGCAAGGATCGAAACAACCGCAGTAATAGCTTGCGCGAATACTTGTTTCCCCTGATCGTTTCCAAGTAGTTTTGGGGACAGATCAGATAACAACTTTGTTAGGCCAATGATTTGGGCTTTGGCTAGAACCCTGTTGCTTGCACAGCCTTTCACTTTCGGCAACCACACTCCTTGGAGCAGCATTACTATAATGTTTGGCTGGATTCTATCCAAAATGTCCGAAAGATATTGGCCACCGTACAAACCAGAAAAGAGTGCCAAAAATTGACCAAATCGAATTGGATAGAGATTTGATTTTGTGCTCTGAAGCCGTGTCAAAATGAGCTGAAAAATGGTTCGAAGGTGATCTGCTATAGATTCACGAGGAGCGTACTGCACGAGCGAAGAAAGTAGATCGAATGCGGATCCTTCAGTTGCCTTCAAAGTATTTAGTTTCTGGAAAATACCAAGAATAGGCATCAGATGGTTGTTCGATACCACGTACGTCGCCGCTTTTTCCAAATACGCCTGGATAAGGCGCGTGAGCCCGGGAACATTTCCCGTTTTTTCCCAGAGCGATGCCGTCAAAAGTGGAGCGAACAAGCTTGTATAGGCTTCACCTAGCCCAGCCCCACTTGGTCGGAATTCAAGTAGCTGTGCCAAAATCTGGAAGACATATGGGGTGAATTCCAAAATGTCCATCTGCAAAATAGTTTGAAACGGTGGAAAAAGCATTTGCTCCAGTTGGGTAATATGGGAGGCATCCTTTGCACAGATACTCTTCACAAGGATGGCTATGGATTCAAAGAGATTATGATTAAACCCAGGGTTTCGAGGGTTCTTGCACACCCGTTCTAAAGCTGCTGACAGCTTTTCGAAGACAATATTTGTCACGGGAATGACGTTCTCGCCCGCTTTATCAAGAGTTGTCATGATGCACTTCATGACGTATTCATTTTCATTCAGAACAACGTTATCAACAATATGGAAAAGACCCTCGAAAAGACCCTGAAGGAAGGGCTGGAGCGATGCTTGCGTTATTTTACTGAAAGCTGTACCCGAGGCATCTCTCCCCTTATTACGTAGGATTTGTTCAATCGTATTAGCGGCGAGACTGTGAACGGCCACATACGAACTTCTGAGGTGAAAGATCAAAACGGGCAACAATTCATTGTACTGTTCAGCAGAAAATTGATTCCGGAAGGTACATACAAAATTGATACAAGATGCCTTCACCATAGGGCGGCTCGATTCGTCTTTGTCTTGCATCTCTGGAAGGACATGGTTGCTGAAGAACTCCATTAAATTCACGTTGTGATTCAGTTCAGACACGCCGCTTGAACTTTGCTTCTTAATTACAATTCCCAGCATCAGCGAAATCTTCAAAAGAGCAACAAATCATGATTCCCACATTAGTTGCAAATTAACATACTAGAAACGCAAACACATCATGCTGAAATTTTTTCCGTGAGGAAACTTACTGCCGTATCCTTGGCGACCCACTTGCTCTTGTCGGCACCGTAATCTGCCAACATTTTCGTCATATGTTCTGAACAAATGCTGGTTGTTTGCGCTTCAAATTGACGACACATAGCCCCCAAGAGTTCACGACTACCCCTGCGTCGAGAATCGGTGGAGGATCCTTCAAGTTCCGTCATAATATATTCCTGAGGATTGTCCTCGAAATTTTCCTCGTCACTTTCGCGGATGGTCATGTTGGGGATAACAATGTTTGCAACAATTTGCTGCAGGGTCGAAGTTTCCTTAAACAGGTCTTTATAGAACTGTCGTCCAACCAAGATATTGAGGTACTTCATGCTCATAACCACCACCTGATCGTGTTTCGGCAGCGTTGTCTTACTGATCAACAAATTCCAGACGAGGGTAGTAAACTCTGGTATGAACGGTTGAAAAGGCTCCTCATCTCGGGTAACAAACAGCTTCAGAATATCGATAATGGCGGACTGTAATTTATCGATTGGCCCTTGTTCATCTTCTTCGTCGTTGTCGACCAATACCGGATTGTTGTATTCCAAATATTTCTTTAGAACCCCCATAACGGTCGCCATATTGTCCTCATAAAATTCTGGAAGGTCTTGGTAGACTAGCGAAAATAGTATGCGAGTTATAAGCCTCAAGGTCTCCATCTTTGCGTTGAGCTGAACTGGATCATTGGCACACGCATCTGCTTGGGTTGCGGTTTGCATCAAAAGTTTCAGCAGAGGTTCCTGAATATGGTTTAGCGTGTAAATAATAACCTTGTAGAGGGCATCGCTTCTATTAACGTCACAAAATCTCCTAAAGATTGAATCGGCTGTCTTCAAAACTCCATTAACTACACTTGGGTCGGGAGAATTGAATTTTGCAACGAGTTTTGGCAACAGATCGTCCCACTTCTCGGGGTAGTCGACCTCGGCAATGATGCTGATCGCTTCTGAGATTTGCGCTTGGATTTGTGGGGGAACAGTACACATAAGCTCGACCAAATTTGTTTTGATCGTAACGCGGTCTTGTTGCGAGATGACAATGTTTTTTCGTTCTTCAAGGTCTTTCGACTCGTCCCATGCTGTCTTTACAGTGTTTTTATAAAATACGGCAGCGGCCTGCCGAATCGTCGCGTTAGCGCTTGCATTGTCGACTAGTTGAAGCAGCTGCAAGAGAAACCCTTGCTGTTTGGAGGAGTCCGTCAAGACTTTCTCGGCTGAAGTATAATAAAAAAGCAATAGGCACACACCGACAATTAATTTCGATTCCGAGAGATTTTTAAAATCAGATTCGTCACCAGACCAGACCACAACATGGCATTTCATTTCATTGAAGGAGACCGAACAAGGGAGCGGCATTATGACGAAACGAAATTAGTAAACGGAAGGGGCGCGAACAACGAAGGACCGGTACGACATGCACGAAACGATATCACGAATCAATGAACCGCGTCCACTCACCGTTTTTGCGGAGGTCAGCATTTGGGGACAATGTCTCCGAGATCACTTGCTCTAGACTTGCCATGGTGGGTCACGAGGCCAGTAGTTAAAGTTCACGAAAAGGTGCTATGAAAAGTATGCGGCGGATAGTGAAAACTGGAAAGCGTCTGTAGAAGGATTGCACTGAGATGTTTGTAGCCGTTCGATACTCTAGAAGTTACTATTCGTTACCAGTATTTATTTCCATCCAAATTTTAAAAGTTAAAAATCTAAAAACTGTACTGTGCTATCCTAGAGGGTCACAACGAACCTACCAATACCATGAAAACCGTCCTCATCTACGCTACCGTACCGTACAGTAATACTACCCTACAGTAATACAGTACCGTACGGTACGTAGAGTATGAGTAGCGTATTACAGGTCGAAGTACAGCAATGTCTACGTACTTCTTGTTCTAGCCGTTGTTGCTTTGTAGAGAGCGTGACAAGCTCATCCTATTTCTACACTCCGTTCCTGGTACTTTTGTACCATGTGCCAGTACAGCTGCGTACTGTATGTTTACGGAAGTTACCTTTCAGTCCTACGAACAGAGAACGTACGATACTCGTACGTACTCGTACAAAGGGGTCCTAAATTTGTGACCCCTGCTCGTACACATTTTGAAGGGTACGTACGTACTTTTGCCTTAACGCTACCGGAAATAGTACTTGTATGTACCGTATCTTTGTGCCTGCATCTTGGTCCTTTCTATCCTGCTGTACCTGTAGGTACGTTCGTAGTAGGGCTCGTACTTCCTAATACGATTGTTCGCACAAACGGTTGATGTGAACAACAAAACAGTCTACTGTAGCTGCAAAAATTAATACGTTAGGGTTAAAGATAACTATCCATCATGTTCTTCGCACTACTACCGGTAGTACGTACCGGTATGCTTGTTAACAAACAAACTTCTCAGAAAAATGGAAAAATCGTTCTTCGATTTGTTGGAAAATCTATTCCGAGGAGGTACGGTACGTACTGTTCCGTTACAAGACGGCTAACTCACTTTTCAGTGCCGTGGCAGCAAGGTAGATCCAGACCCGAGGTCAGGGTCTATATTTCCTAAAAGATGACCGGACAATTGAAGGTGCAATCCATTCTGACGCTATTTTGGCTAATGGGCTACCTTTCCTTCACCCGTAGTTTCTGTATGGGCAAGAATTTGTTTCCGTCGAGGGCATCAACAATTGCGTTTTCAAAAACAACGAGTCAATCGCAAACCACTGGAGTCAATTCTCGAGTCAATCATTCGGTTTCATTCTCCAGCAAGGTCTCTATTTCAGATGCTTACGATGGCGGGAATATCGAGCTAGCCAACATCGAAGATGGCCCAACAAAAGTAGTCTCGTTACGGATCAAACCTGATCCGTACACAGAACTCGAGAAGAAGTCGCACATGCAATACTTTTCCTTTCGGTCCTCTATTCACACCAACAATGCGGAAGATGACAAGAGAGACGTCCCCGTCACATACGAACTACTAAACGCTGGAGAGGCGTCGTATGCCAATGCCTGGAATGGTTCCACTGTTTTTTACTCAAAGTCACTCAGTGATCCCGACTCTTGGAAGCGTGCACAAAGCACTCGTTTTGTAGAAGGAAAACTCGTTTGGGACCACATACATAGCGAGGAATCAGAGAGTGTTTATTTTGGCTATTTCCCACCATTTTCCTACGACCGACACTTGGAGCTTGTCGAAAAATGCAGCGAGTTAGCTACTGTGTTTTCACTGGGGCAGACCTTAGAAGGTAGGGAAATTGAGTGCATCCAGGTCGGTACCGGAAAAAGCATCGGGTGGATCATCCATCGACAGCATCCCGGAGAACATATGGCTGAGTTCTTTGCAGAGGGCTTTTTGAAGCGCCTCCTCGGGCTCGACTCAAGCGGCGATACCGATGGTTTGGTCCGGCAGCTGCTCTCAAAATACACATTCTACATTATTCCCTCTATGAATCCCGACGGTGCCGTTGCCGGAAATCTGCGGGTGAATGCGGCAGGTGCGAACCTCAACCGCGAATGGTGCAGCAGCGGAGACGACTATGAAGCTCCCACTCTAGAGCGATCGCCAGAAGTCTACCACGTCTTGGAAAAAATGAAGGAAACTGGATGCGACGTCTTTTGTGACATTCACGGCGACGAAGAAATCCCCTACAACTTTTTGGCACAGCCGGTGGTTCCAAACTGGGGTCCACGTCTAGAAGCTCTGCACGGTGCCTTCAATGCGGCCTACCGTCGAGCCAATCCAGACATGCAACAAGAATTTGCCTACGAACCCACAGAATACGCAGAGGGAGATATACTCAACATTGCCAACGACCAAATCGCCCATCGTTTTGATTGTCTATCTGTTACACTGGAAATGCCATTTAAAGATTGCAGGTCCAATTCCGATCCGGAACGGGGCTGGAGTCCAGCTCGCTCCCGGGCACTTGGAGCCTCTTTGTGCGAGCCACTCTTGTATATTCAGCCCTATTTGCGCGCCGAGGCTCTAGACGAGAAATCCTTCGCCGACAGTTTTCCAGAAATCGATCGGTACGTACTCCCCACAAGCGAATACAACAAATAAACGGACGACGGAGTTCGAAACCGCTAATATGCTATAATACCGAAGCCAACAAGTGCTTGGCGTAGAATACGGAATGCATCTAATTAGTTTAGTGCATCAGCTCCTACTCTAGTATGGTTGGTATACTAATCAGATATGTGCAACTTTTATCATATCCCACAATTCGTATCTGTTTCTTCAACAAAAATGAATGTCGACAAGTGCATAATTCTCCTTCTCTTTTAGTTGTCACCGACTACTGTCATCAACTGCTATCACGTCAGGAGTTTTTCGAACGCGAGCAATAACTCATGCCAAGACGCAATACCATAATATTACTACGAAATATTTTCACTTTGGTTAACTCGTACCAGTACTCGTAGTTGCTCTTGCACTGTCCGGTTTCCTGTATCCGGTTTCGTTCCGGTAGGTCAGAGGTTACGCGCTGGATGATTTTGTTGTTAAGAAAGGACGTACGTACTGTATGTACGTACGACCTGCATACGACCAGGCCCGGGTGCACAGTGCACAGGGGTCCAAATTTATGACCCCTGCATACTACCATACGACGGAGTTTATTATTTAATGTACGATGGAGTTCATTATTTAATTCTGTGCACGAATCAAAATTTTTGAAAGGGGGGGAATCTTGCTGAACTCTCAAGAAGTAAGTACCGGCAGATTAATGCCATGTCTGCGCGAATCAATCACGGAACATGGTGATCATGCGCAGAAGCCAATCGGAAGTTTGAATTGAATAGTTGACACCGAACCACATCAACAGACGCATGTGAGACGACTGCAATATTTTGAATAGCCTTTCTTGATGGGTCATAGCATACGGTACCGAGCGGTATATTTTGACGAAGTGCTTCTAAAAATGAATTTTGATGTCGTAAAGTACTTCTAACGTACGATACCGCACAATAATCTTTTCCTTACTGTACTCGCCTACGAGGTATGGTATGCGAATGGCACATGTAGGAACAGCGTGCATACCAGTACCGTTGAAAACGTACGAGTTCTCCTACTTTTGTATGGTATTCATGGCATTTTGGTGTGGTCGTGAAGATCGTTGAAGAACCTTATACCGTCCGGTAACTCCTACGAACTTCTTTTATCTTCGGAAGCATGAACTTGCTCGCGCTAAACTTCGACATCAACTTTTTCGCAGAAATTTAAAGGAACAAAAATCCCCTGTTTTCCAATCTTAACGCATACATCATAGAATCAAGAAGCACACATCAATCCAAAAGAAACAGTCAAAGTAAAAAAAGCAAAATCACATTGAGTGAAATTTCATTACAGAAATCTGCTACGAACATTGAAAGAGTGCATCGGAATCCTTGCAACAGGTTCTTTATAAAAATGTAAGTGTGGGAAGGAAATAATTTATTTTGTGAGCATCACGACGACCATAATTTTTAGGGATGGATCATTGCCGTCTCTTTCGTCCTTATGCGTATTCATTCGCAACATAGATATTCGTATCTCAAGTTTGCGATTGAGATTTCTTCTCACTGCGAGAGAAGAAAGACACAATCGCAGTAAACAATGTCCAGTCATTGTTGTGGGTCGTCGTCGTCGTCGTCGTCATTCTACGGTACGTTCTTAACGAAAAGTGCGTACATCGCTGTTGAAAGGTTTCATCAGTTTCGATGAACATTCTTCAGCTCTTTTTGTATTGGTAGGCTCTTTTGCTATCCAAAAGATAAGAGGGCAACACCTTCCAATTGAACGAATTGAACGAAAAAATCGTTTCTGTATCGGCGATGCCAAAAAAAAACCGCAAAAATCACAGTAAAAGACAGAGCACGTTTGAGTCGAGTCAAGCATACCCGACTCATCACCCTGCACGCGCCACCTCCCTGTCGCTCAGATCAGTGTTCAACTTCAGTTTGTGACACTACAGTAGTACTGTAGAACCAGTACGTACTCGTACAACCGTCCATACCCGTACCTTCTTCTACGAAAAATATTTTCACGCTTTAAGTTGTTGTCGCCTTTCCTTCTAACTGTATTTTTTTCTTTTTGATACTCACAAAATCTTACTGTACTCCATTTCTTGATGCTTCATTGATTAAACAGTTCAAGAAAGTTAACGATTCACCAGGACGAAATGACAGAAAAAGTCACCAAGATGCTCGTTAACAGTTACCAGAGCGGAAACGAAGAGACGGAAGACGAGGAAGTGAAAAGAAATTGCATTTTCGGGGAATCTGGGATGAGAGACTCTGACTTATCAGATACCGATTTCGAGGAGGAAGGAGAAGAAAAAAACGACGCTGTTGATGCCGACGAGGGAAGAAAACAAGGAAATGTTACTAAAAATTCCAAAGAAGTGGGAAAGATGGACGATTTGGTGAAGTTTGTGACTATCGGTAGCGAGATCATAAAACCAAACGGTGTTGTTCTGTACCGGCCAACGCCTGTCTTGCCTACCATACTGTTGCAGACAAATGAGTCACACCAAACTTTGAAAGAACACGAGAAAAGGTAAGTGAATGAAAGTTATGAAAATCATTGTCGAAGGTCAAGCTCTTGAATACGAATTTGAAGCGAAATCTTCTCTAACACTATGATTCTATCGTTTACATTTCGTCTTCAATCTATTCGAAGGAGTATATCGATTGGTGATCTAAATCCAAAAAGTGGGTTTTCGATCACATCGAAAGACGAAAGCGAGGCTGAAAACTCGGTGAGTTGCGGTAGCAGTACTAGCAATATTAGTAGCAGTGGAAGTGACGGAAGCGATGCCAGCACCGAATCTATCAACTCGGAAGCGAACATGAAATCAGCTTCTCTCGCATTTCCAATTACCGACAGAGACCAGCTTCCAACTTTGGAAGTTATTGCAGGTACTGCTAGCATTTTACAAAACAATTCAGAGGACTGCCATACGTCAGTGTTTGATGACGAAGAAGAACCACAAGGACCAACAAACGACAGCTACGCTTTGGTTGGCGCTAGTGGTGCAAGTGTTGACGACATGTGGGGGACAGTCAGGCAGAAAAGAGTACTATCCTCTAACACCCTATCTGCCCTCAACGCAGAAGCGGGTCGCAACGAAGACTCTACAAAGCGAAAAAGAGGCCTAGACCAGCCGAAAGAAGATTTCTGTGCAATACCTGAAATCACACTAGGAATCGAGGCATTAGATCAAATCATACACCCATTGCCGCGCCAATATATAATTAGAGAAGACTCGCCGTCGATATCCTCTTCTTGTGAAAAAGAGGATGAGATGTTGAGTGAAGAATTGGAAGAAAGATTCCGAAGCAGCAGCGAGTGTTGCAGTGTTGACAATCCCATAATTCCGTTGTTAACTCCACCGCAGTCTCCTCGAACGATTGGTGTAATCGAATGGCCGTCAAACCTGGTGATGGATAGTACAATTATGACTGCGTACAGTAATCTATCACCAGTCTCCACTTCTAGTAACAATAGTGGCAGTTTGATGAGTGATCAATCGAAGATTCGCACTTCAGGCGAGTTCTCAACAAACAGATCAACAAGACGATGTCGCACTATCTCCGTAGCAACTACATGACGATGCTATTTTCACGTTTGGTTTTGTTACAAACGTTGGGGGCATCAATTGATCGATTACATAATATAAATGCATACTTAAAGACAAATAAAGATGTAGAAAGTTGTCAAGTTTTTTACTTGCGTTGTATTATCGCCTTTCTCCGAAAAAATGAAGTTATTGATGTTCATTCGACAATTTCTAATTCATGAAAAGGCTTGGTGCTTGTGCATCAAGCGGCATTGCTCGTCCTATTGAAGATGATAAGATGTGAAGACTTTGTCACGATATTTACTAGGTTACTATGTTATAATGTGAGATTGTCGACTTTTACAGACAAACTATACAGAAAATAATAGAATATAAAGATGAAACACTTTCTTTCGCACCAACTTCGAGCTGCGGTTCTACAGAGTCGGTCTTCGTCAGAAAAAGGCCGTGCGAATCGCTTCATCATAGTTCGCAATAAGATCATAAGTGGAAGTGAAGAAGATCGTCTACACTGTCATCGTACTGATTTCAAAGTGGAGAAGACAGCGAATTGAAGGTCCTACTCTTCGGCGTGCTCCAGAAGCTCCTTCAAGTACTCAATACGAGACTGGTGGTATTCAATGTGCTCTAGGTGGCGATTGTTTCCTGAATATTGAAAGTAGTATCCGCCCTCTTCATCCTTTCCCGTGCCAGAATAATGAAAATAGGAATTACCCTTTCTGCCCTTTGCTCTGCTGGAATAGTAGAAGTAGTATCCGTCCTTTCTGCCCTTTCCTCCCTTTCTGTGTCCACGATATGAATCTTTTGGAGTCTTCTTGACATATTTTTCGGGTCCACCTTTTCCAAAATCCTTCTTTGACTTTATGCCCTTGCCTTTGCCAACAATGGGAAGGGGAGCTGGAAATAGCGTTGCAAATTCTGCGTTGTCTTCTTCGAAATCGTCGGAGAGTCCAGGGGCATTAGCGGTGATATCACAAGCAGCTGTACTGCCGGCGAAGACGCAACGTTCCAATAAACACTGGACACATGTTGAACTACAACTAGGGACCGATGTAGAAGCAGTGGGGGGAGATCCAGGTCCTGAATCAATATTACGAGAAAAAGAATTCATCGAACAGTTCAGAACTGGGGTCTTTTTAACGATTATCTTCCCCTTGAGCGAGAGAAACTTACCTGGCTGGACTTTGATTGTGCTAGACGATGAGGAGGAGCTTGAAGAGGTAAACGAAAAAGAGGGACTTTCGGATTCAGTGCTGGGCGTGACAGTTACCTCGGAAGTTGGAAACAAAGAGGGCCTTTTGGTAGGTGTTGGACTCGGATTTTTCGTGGGCGACAACAAGGGTCGATTGGAAGGTGCCGAAGAAGGATTGGGACTTGTGTCTACGCTGGGTGGATCGGAGATGGGAGAAGTTACATTGGATTTCTCACAGGTACATCCACAGGTTTCGAACCCGATACTGAAGTCTTGTGTGTATGATTCTGTATCTTCTTCAGCAAGGACTGCTTTGACGGAACCAAAGTACTTGGTGCTGATTCCATCGATAAAGGAAAGGTGTGGGTCAGTTATACTTTCGTCAATTTTGACGTGGCTTTTCCGACCACGATACGTGAAACCACCTGGAGTGCACGCGTTGACAAAGGAAATACCGTATGGCTTCACTAGAGGAAATCTACATCTGGTGTAGATTGCCCCCACTAAGACTTCTCCGTCGCCACTCGAAAACCAAATTGTGATCTTCTTTGGCATCTTCACGTCGAACAATATCTGGTTCGTAGAGTCGATCATCGCAAAACAGATGTTATCTCCGGGATGAACGCCATTCTTTGTCTTGGATAGTGCTGTACTACTGCAGGTGTGATCTTCGAAGGGAAATTTGATGCATGGGTCTTCGCAGTCGACGATTTTTAAACCAGAACCCCGAAAAATGTCTCCCTTCGTTCCTTTGGACCCCCGGTGCGATGGGGATCGGGAAGGGTGGAAAGAATTGTCCTTGGTCCCCTTAGAACTGTAGTAGGAGGCTTGAGAAGAGCTACCACCAGTTCCTGAATATGGGCTCTGAAAAGACTGGGAAGAAACGGCCTTGCTCCACTTGGAAGAAATACTGGATGGCTGAGGAGTTATAGAAGAGCCGGCGTCAGATTTTGAATATCGGGTTTGAGAAGGAAGAGAAGCTGCCTTGCTCCCCTTGAAACTAAACCTAGAAGGACCAGAGGTCGAGGGATTGCCAGTATCAGATCTCGAATGAGGGGTCCGGGAAGTGAAAGAAGAGCTTGCCTTGGGACGTTTAGATTGCCGCGAAGGTCCGACCTGGTGATCCAGAAGGGATCGAGAATGGGGTGCTTGAGAAGAATGAGCCTTGGAACCCTTGGAGCCAAAAATCGAACCAGCCTTGTTCCCCTTGGAAGTCCAGGCGGTAGTACACGATGGCGAGTTATTGTTGTCATTGGTGAACGACCCTGCCACGATTGGGTCTAGTGTGATCGTGCCAGAAACATCTACTTGGCTGGCGCTGAAAAGCACCTTGAGGTAGCTGACACCGCCTTTGCAACAGTCACCATGGTGATTGGTGGCAACTCCACCGTTCGAAGCACAAATATTGGAGCAATCCTCGAAGAAGAAGGGGCTCGACTTGGACCCCTTCAAATTTCGAGGAAGAAGCGAAGATGACGAAGAAGGGGCTGGGACCGCTACCAGAGAATAGCGCCCTTTCCCCTCCCCATTAAGAGGTCCTTCCTCATACCATTCGGGATGGGACGAAGAGTGAGGCGTAGCATTGAAGGGGATTTCTTCCTCAATAGAAATATTCCCGTGCTTCTTCGCGTGCACGAGTACGGAAGAGTGCCCAGAGAAACCCGAGAGGGTCAAAAGAAAGGAGAACAATTGTTGGAGTTTCATAGTTGTTGACGGTGCTATAGTCGACGAAAAGAAAAAGGTGTTGAGAAAGGTAGATCAAAGAGCGAATGTGATGATACGATTTGATTGATGAATTGTGCTGAAGCAACAAAAAGTGAGCTTTGTCGCTATGGTGAGAAAAAGGCCGAATGAACCCTTTTTTCGGCACTGCTTCCAAGACATCGATTTTTCTTCTCGTGACGAAAAATCTGGACAAGACACTGTTTCCCGCCTTGCGCGCGAGCGAGTTCGAACGGAACGAATAAAAAATAAAAAATTGGATGAATCAATTTGTTATTGATTCGAAGAGGTCAAATGGTTCGAATCTTGTTTTGCACAGCTGCGTTGTTCGTGTTCGTGTTGTGTTGGTTGCTCATCCGCTTGCGCTTACTGTATTTCCGTTCTGTTATCCTTGTACATTACGTAGGGTGGACTATGTAAGAGTACTTGGTGTTGGGCGTTTAGTAGCCGGTTCAAAAAGTACGAGTACTAATACTCGTACATTCATACTGAACAAAAGAGAAGAATCGAATACTTCCTGTGATACAGTATTGTTCTTTTTTCTTTAGGTTAGCACCGCATGAGAATTGAGATGGCTAGTGGCATCGAGAGGCATTGGCAATGGAAGCTAAGATACAAAAAAATAATAAGAATGCACTAGAACAATCAACGTAAAACCCTGACACAACACAACACTGTACAGAATTATTGCCACCGCGTTTCATAGATAGCTGTGAAACGACTTCCCTTCTCTTCCCACTCGACGTGAGAATCTATCAAAATCCTACAATTGAATTTTTCTTGCGTTCTTAGTGTTCTCGTCTGGTGCTTCTAAATCAAGAAGGCATTTCGATACGCGTTGCATTGTTTCAAGTGGATATTGGCACCTAAGAAACTCCTCCTCTGTGGTTTGCTTCCCCGGTCTTGCTACACCGTCAGTAAGAACGAATACAAAATATTGCAACGATGTCAGGAAAATCAACAAACAACTCCACCATGAACCGACAGCCGATGACAGCATTACAATACCTTCTCGTCCTACTGCTATGCGTTGGTCAAACAGTAGCATACATTCCTTCAACGAAAAGAATAAATAAGGGCATTCATAAGCCTGGAACAACCATGTCTGCTTGGAAATCATACAACAATTACAACAAAGTTGAGACTTCTTTTAATAACATATGCCAACGGTATGGTTGCTGCCTTAAAAACAGAATTAGCATCAACTCTGGTATTGCTTTAGCATCGAGATCTCAAATGGAGGACGAGGAGTGCGAGGACTTCAAACATCCCACGAACACCGATGGCGTCTTAAAAGTGAACAAAAAAAGCAACGATAAAGCTGGAGATGCTCCTTCTATATTTCAACGCATGTTTGATGAAGTACCCTTTGTACATCTCTTCTACACTGACGGTCGCAAGAAGCTTCCACCTGCCCAGATAGACGACTTTGGGGTCATGCTGTATGATGTATTTCTGATTGTCAATTTATCATTATCTATCTCATTTTGGGTCACCCATCGAATGGATTTCACCTACATACCGTATGCGTTTAATGAGGGCTGTCTTTTTTCTATCCTGTGGATTGCTTCGGGTTTGTACCACGGTAGTTTTTTGTACAGCGCAATGGACGGACATTTTCCGCTTGACGACGAACAAGGGCGGGGAGGTCCCATGGCGGCAGGTGCCTTGGCCTTCAATACCTTTATCAATGCCATTAATTTGCGATTGGTCGCAGCGTTGATCGGTGCATGGATTCAACACCGCAAGGTGGGAGAGGGTTCTCCCATGGAAGAATTGATTCCGTTGGAAATTGGCTGTGGATTGGTCCTCATGACACTCTGGCGAGTAGTCCACTCGCAAGTGACTCCGAGGTTGCGATGATCAACAGCGATAGATAATCAAATATAGACTTGATTAGCATGAGAAGATAATTTATAGATGAGTCATGTATTGAACATTGCCTGGATTGAACTCGAATGTTATTGGAGATGCTTTGTTTTGGATCATGTCACCTGTGCCTAGCTTCCGCGAAATGAATTTTCATTCGCAGAGTGGAGCAGCTTTTTGTGGTCCTCAACTCTTTTAACAACGACTTAGCTCCAAACATCATATTACCAAATCGTTGAATCTTGTTTCCACTTTGGCTCCAAAACGCAAATGATTCAACAATTTGTATCTAATCCGTTTGTCAAAACGAGGGTTCATCGAGAACGCAATACAGTAACGAAACGTTTCACACTTTCTGCTGCACTTGTATTCTCTATTAAATAAAGTATTTATCATTACAAGAGTCTCAGCCCTCATCCTCACTTTCATTGTTCAGGAGGTAGATTGACGGGAAGTCCAAAAACGAACACAGGAAATGTCCGTTGTATGCATTGCTTACGTGCACAAAATTTAGCTAAAGATGTCCATGAGTGGGACGGATCCGGGGATGCTCTCGTGGGCGAAAAGACTGGCCATGGCGATCATAGCGGCACGTCCATTCTTCATTTCTACAATCTTGTATCGGGCAGCGTCTTCTTCGGACATATTCTTTCCAAGACCCAACACGTCAAAGTTCAAGTCACCAGGAGTCTTGGTGGACTTTCCTCGGAAGTTGTCTCCAGAATGTCCGACACTTTCTCCTTCGCAGATAGCAATGAAGAAAAGGATTCCGGCAAACCATCCGGGTTGCTCCTTAGCAAAGACTCCAAGAGCTTGTGTCCAGTCCGATTCTTCGGGGAATCCAGGGATGTGCATACCCAATCCCATACCACCCTTTTGAATTGACATACGTGAAAAAACCCGACCGAAAAAATTTAAACGTTAGATTGCTACATTAGGAATTCAAATACACAATCATCGTAAATGCTAACGCATGTGGGAACATATACAATGTGCCTGATTGATGAAATCTCAAAAGCTTCAAGTGGTAGTGCAGACCGTATCAACCGACATTTCGTCACATCATTTGCTGTTGTGTTGTGTTTCATTCTCGTACCTGGTGCGTAGCCCAGATTCCGGTCCATGCGATCATGGCTTGACGTCCATGCTTGATTTCAGCCTCTTGCAAGAATTGAACATCTGGGAACATGTTTGGGAAGGTGTCGAAACTCTCGCCGGTACCGAGCTTGGCCAAGTTGAGGGGATCGAACGGAACTCCTCCGACTTCTTCGAAACCGGTGGCCTTAAGAGCCGACGATTGCGAGGCAGTCTGTTGAGGGGCAAACGCCGAAGCGGATGCGACAAGGGAAGCTAGGAGGGCAGCGGAAAACTTGGCCATGGTGGAAATTTAGTTGATAATGGGAGCAAGCAGAGGCTAGGTGTAAAGGAAGTCCGATATCCCATACCTAGCACATGATCCAACGATGCGTTCGTACAGATCACAACAGAGAACTTCGATTGTTGAACTCGCTGCAAAAAGGATTTGTTTTTTTTTATCCTTCAATTCCGGACTGACGGTGACAGACTGAAAGTGTCCTTTTTGACTCATCCGATTGAAAAAAATATATATTCTAGAAGTATGTACGTACGAGTAGTACTTGTAGGCTCTTCCAAGGCATTATGATACAATAACTTACATACGGTACCGTACCATACGTAACCTATTCGGTAGTAACTGTGGTGTGCGGTGCGGTCCGGTCTGCGGTCTACCTGGAGCCTGAGAATGTACACGTACGTACCTACGATTGACAGATACTACTAAAACATATGGTAGAGCAATACTCTTCAAACTTCAAACCGTGTAACAACGGTACCGTACCGTACAGTTCCGCAGGTTGAAAGTAACGCAGGAGTCATAATGTAATTCGCGCATTGAATCAAAATTCATAGCCATCCTTGAGAAAAAGAAAAATCTTGCTCTCATTTTTACTGAGAGGCACTCCTTTTGGTGCCTCTCCTGCATAACACTACTACTTCGTAACAACTATCCGACTTGAAAACGCCATAACTTTTATCAAAATTACTACTCGTACGACTATTATGATTATTCGTTACGGTACCTGAACCAAATTTTCATGAGGATTCTGAATATGCTATATTCTTCACCAGCAGCAAATGGAATCAGTTCAAATAGCCAATAGGAACAAATTCTGAAAGAACACAGAATATGCCTAGAAGAGTTTAAATCAAATATTCCTGATCACTAGAACTACACCATGAGCTCGGGCCTGTCGTCGCGTGGCAAGCTTTGTTGTATTATTGTACTAGGTGAAAGCTCCCGGTTCAAAATCGAATCAGAGAACAAGTGGTAACCAGCGCGAGAGAGATTCATATTCATTGTTGGATTTAAGCCGTCGATTGTTGTCCACTAACGTCCCAAACATTGCAACGCTTGTTCTAAGCGCTCAGCCGCAATTTCGATGTCCTTATCTTCTAAAGCTGCCAAAGCAAACCGGGTCAACTCAGTCGCATCCGCAATCTCGGCCCTACCGACCTTCTTCTTGGGCTTTTTCTTGTTAGCCAGGCCGAATAAAGTTGTCATTTTCGGTTTTTCCATCGGAGGTGTTGGTGTTGGTGTCGGTGTTGGTACTATTGGTGATGGGAAAGACATCGGAGCGGGAGGAGGCAGATCGAAAACTAAAGGAGGCTTTACTGGTGGTGCCGGAGGAGGCAAAGGTAGATCAACAGGTTCGATTCCTATGGGATATGCAGGAGGTGGTCCTAGCGGCACCTGGGCGCCAACCTCGTCACCGCTATCATCACCACTGTCTTCATCGACGGGAACATTTGGTTTGATTTCCTCTTCTTCTTCGTCCTCCTCATCTCCGTTATCATCATGAGAGTCTTCTTCGACCGTTTCTGGCATAACGGGGCTCTCATCTTCCACAGCGATCGTTACCGGAGTATCTTTTTCTTTTTCTTCCGCATCAGCATTGTTTGTCTCTTCTTCTCCATATCCTCCGGGCGTCGGGGTACGGCCTTCCTTGATCGCTTTGAGAATCTCAGTTGACTTCCATTTGCAATAGACTGATTTTTTCTTCTGTTCTGCAACTTCTGCCGAATCATCATCATCGTTGTAAAATTGCTGTAGTATCTCTAAAAAGGAGGCAGCTGCGTAAAAGGTTCGTGCCGTGTTTCGATTTGCCTCCCCGCATCGATCCTCTGTGTCAGCCTTGTCAAAAATCTTCTCGGCGAATTTTTCGCATAAGAATTTTGATTCGTCTCGTGTGAAGCTATCCATGGCTTCCTTTTCTCCCTCTAGGACTCCCAGGAGCTCCCCAAGACAGAGCTTGCCCGCGGGGGACGTCGCCAACGGAATACCAGTGTGGACGGCGAATTGCCGGCAATAATACGCAACCAATCGTGATTCCGGGTTGCCCTGGTCACGGTCGAGTTCTTCGGCACGACGGACGTAGGGCGTGATCTTCTTTAGTTCGGGTGGGATTGTAAGCGCCATTGTCGTTCTTGTATTCTAGTTCCAGATATATCAGAATCCCACTTTTGATACTTGTTGAGGTGCAAAAATGTAGAGTCGAGACGGGAAATGTCGGATTATTCAGTCGTGACGAAGAGGTCGTGGGTATTCGCTTTTGGGCAGCAAGGAATCCTTTCTTTTTTATGACCGGATTGTTGTTTTTTGGTTTCCCAACTTGGTAAATGTATTCAGTTCGTATTGAACAACAATCCAAACAGAGTGTAAGCAATGTATTGTTTTCGAAATGTCGTTCCTCGGTAAGTGTCTACTTGTTCGTAGCTAATGTTGTCTGATGTATCGTGCGGTTTCAGGAAAGATCCTCCGTTGCCCCATCGAAGGAGGTAAAATCAAAATCCCGAAGAAACAATAGAAACGAAGTGACCACTTTTTTGGCAAGGTCACAATGAGTGAGTCGTGTTAGGAGTGCGCACTTCCTGTCGTCTCAGATGATGGTGTGCTATGCATACCTTTTTCATGTACTACACATAACTACAATGTTGTGATTTGCGTTTTCAGTTTTCATGTTACGGTGCGTACGGTACGATGAGTACCACTCGTAATAGTAATAGTGAATTGTAAATTCTCGTGTTCGCAACGAACCAGTGAAATACTGGTAGAACATGATCTTTTAAATAGTAAGAAGATCAGTGACGCAGTGCTGTAACACACTCCTGCGATTGTCCCTACTGTATGCTAATCATAAGAAGTTTGCTCTCTCTTTCATGGCCAGCGGTTTGCGTGAAATCAGACGGCTGAGTTCTAGTTTCCGTTCCAATGAAAACCGTGGCTATGATGATTGAAAAATAATTACGAAGTACTGTAGTAGTTTTTGAACATTCTGAAAAAGCATGTATTGCATCGTCGTTTCTAGTTTCAGTATACTGTAAAAGCTAACAAATCAAAATTCTATTGCATCGTGCTGCCTTTCACTACAGCAACAGCAACTCTGGCTTGTTGATATAATGTCTAAAGGCCGACATGAACAAGGCGGCGGTGGCTTCATCGACAACACGGCGATCCGAACTCAATCGCGCGGTCATGATGGTTTTGATGGCAGGCTTGGCTTGTTCTTCGGCACCGTCCACGTAGGGTGTCGGCACAACTCTTCGGACACCCCCTCCAACGGCTAGAATGGCAGCCTGGGGTGGGTTAACGATTGCGGTGAATTCGTCGATTCCAAACATACCCAGATTGCTGATGCAGAAGGTTCCACCCTGGTATTCCTCTGGTGACAGTTTGCCTTCTCGTGCGCGCCCCGCCAAGTCTTTCACCTTATCCGAGATTTCGGACAGGCCCAATTTGTCAGTACTTGGTATGATGGGAGTGATCAGGCCGTTGGGAATTGCTACTGCTATACTGATGTCCACCGAGTCTTGCAATGAGACCGAATCGGTTTTCGGATCGTACTTGCCGTTCACTTCGGGAACGTCTCGGAGTGCCAGGGAAGAACATCGCACAACAATATCGTTCACGGAAACTTTCACATCGTGGTCGTTCAACAGTGTCTTACGAAGTTTCAAAACGTTGTCGAGTTCAACCTCCATGGACGTGTAGCAGGTAGGAACCTCCTGCTTGCTTGCAGTCAAGCGTTTCGCAACAACCTTTCGCATGTTGTTGTTGGGAACGTCCTCATAGGAACCATACGTATCGACCTCGGGAAGGGGCAAATCCTCGGCTGGACCGGTTGGTGCCTTGGGGACAGCAGCTGCAGCCGGCGCTGGAGCGGTTGCGAGTTCTGGGCCCTTTTCTTCGACCTTCACCAAGGCCGGCATTGGAGTGCCATCTCGGAGCGCCGCCAAAACATCTCCCTTGGTAACTCGGCCTCCCTTTCCACTCCCTGTCAATCCTGTTGCGTCGAGACCCCTGCAAGACGGAACAAATTTGCAAATATAAAGTTCGAGTTGTGAGACGATCGATAACCCTTCAGCACAACACTTCCATAAACGTTAAGTGCGCAGGAAAGAAAAGCACTTGAAGTCCCGCTCACAGCCACGGACGACATGAAAAACTATTAAGAAATGAGTGAATGGAGCAATCAATCAATCAATCAATCAACGTACTTTGATTCGGCTAGAAATCTAGCCGACGGTAACAAAAGGCTAGTACCAGCCGATCCACCAATCACGGGGGCAGTAGCAGTGGACAACTCTTCTAAGGAGGAGGATGGTGCTTCGTCCATAGTTATGTCTGCACCGGCGACTCCCGTGCTTTCTTCCTCCGACACAACGTAATCCGCAAAGGCGGCAACGTCCTCGGGTTCCTCGACGACGATGGCAATGGGGGTACCAACGGGAAGATCCGTCGCCTCCGAGCCGTCTTTGAGAATCTTGGCCAGAATACCATCGTCCTGAGCTTCGAAGTCCATTGTCGCCTTGTCAGTCTCGATGCTGGCAATGACTGATCCAGCGGAAAACTCCTCGCCCTCGGCGATCTCCCACTTGGCTATCGTTCCGATTTCCATGGTAGGGCTGAGAGCCGGGAAGGGAATGACGACGTGATCGGGGTAATCGAGCACCGCGACGGATTGGTGAAATTGGCGTCGACCGATGGAACTCGTGCAATTCAAACCATTGGTTTCGGGAAGAGAATAGCGGTTGTTGTTCCCTTTCAGGCCTAGTCTGATGGTTGCGGCCGTCGAGGAGGAAGCTCCTCGATGGGATCCGACGATTGCGGTTGCCACCGTCCGTCTCCCTCTCAACACACTGCTGGTGCTTAGGCGTCTCAAAGCACTCATTGGCGACATGTTTGTATTCTTAGTTGCTTGTTGATGTTTTGTTTTCTACGATTCAGTTTGCCTTCGCTCGATTAGCTCAATTAGGCACGGCACTTTGTTCACAACTTCTATCCTTCGGCTCTAGTCAAAGTAATGAATACGGTAGATCCTGACCTTTGAGATGAGAACGACTGCTGCCCTATTCAGTGGTAAGGGAATGCGTCTAATCCGTTGGGCAACGAAATCGATTCTCAAGCGCTTTGCTCTTTGGATTCTCTGCTACCTATGTGGAGGGGATGAAATGGTGTTTTTTCGAGCAATTACGCTACAAAATCGTGCCGTCGACCAATCATCGATTTTGGAATTGCACCGTAGCGGCGACGGTGGTGTTTCCTTCTTTCTTCCACTCCCTTTTTTGGTCCTTCTCCAAGAAGTCTTTTGCCACATCCTTCCATTGTTGTATTCTATTCGGACTAGTCAACTATTTAATCCCCATCCTTAATATGGACAATATGGACAAACCTTCCAAGTCGCAACGAACCTCTACCCAGGGGTCTAAATTTATGATATGACCCCCGCCTCTACCTACTGAACCCGTATCGTATGAAAAATGAAAATGAATCCGTGTTGTACTGTACCTGGTACGTTACGTATGATGGCATGAACAATACACTACAATTTTAGACGTTCAACTCGTACCAGTAAAAATTTCAGAGCTGTTCTGCTGCTTGCGCGCCTGACAGCACTCGACTCTGTCATTTGCGAAATTTTTTAACAATGAATGCTCAAAACAATAAATCCGGTACGTCTCGTCCGAGTCGCGCTATTTACGGAAAAAATGCTATGCCTGGTTGTCCCACCAGGAAGGTGCTGATTTCAAAACTGCCGCATCGCACCGTTGTGACCAGCGATAATATTGCTTCGTGAAGCAGCAAAAAGCACATCGCAGCACAGCACAACGCAACTCGAACCGAACCGACACGACACGACACAAGAAAAGTAACAATCATGKGGAACGCGCTATCAGAAGAAGAACAAGAACAGATCATGGAGGAGGCGTACAACCTCGAGGATCCAGGGACAGATAAACATTTAAATTCCGGTACATCCGCACCGAATTGCCAACCCAAACACACGCAGAGAGAATTAGAACCAAATATGAATGGGGGGTCTTCGGAGGGGGACGAAACTTCGATGACACACAAAAACCAGAGGACTGCGTCCACGGCTAGCGTGAGAGATGCACAAGACGAACGGCGGAAACGGCAGCACACAAGTGCGTCTTCGTCTTCCCTCTCGTCTCAGCAGCAACAAGAGCAAGAAATGACGCAACAAGAGAAAAAACTCAGTTACTTCCAGATGGCGCGTCTTGGATACCAAGAACTCGTCAACGCAATCATTCGTCCTCCGCGAGCAGATTACAAGGTGCGTTTCTCGCTTTCCGAAAGGCTGTTATTTTAGAATCAAGGCTCTGAAATCAGACACATGTTGATCGGTAGATTGGTGCTACTACGTAAACTCATTACTTTCTAAACCTCTTTGTGTATTTTTGATTTGCCCTACAAATTCATCTATGACTCTAGATGGAAGCCCTGGGTCCTCCTGCCTTTACATTTTGTGGAAAGCGATTCACTCGAACCGATTTTACGCTTCAAACAAAGCGTGGGTTCAACCTAGAATGTTCTCATTGGGAACCTGTTGAACGAATCGCTGACAAGATACCAATCGGTAAGTCTCAACCCAGCTGCTCTAGGAATTTGCATCGCTCATTTTTGCTTGCAACCGTTCACATGTACGAACTCGCCTTTTTTATGGGAACCACATAACTTACAATTAACTTGTGTCGCATAGTCATTTATATGCATGGTAATTCATCGGCGCGAGTGGAAGTCTTACCCCAACTTTCATACTTACTTTCCATGGGAGTTGCTGTCTTCTCGTTCGATTTTGCTGGATCTGGAAAATCGGACGGTGAATACGTCAGTTTGGGATACTACGAACGGGAAGATCTTACGTGTGTAGTTTCCCATCTAAGAGCTACCGGTGTGGTCAGCACCATTGCATTGTGGGGACGATCTATGGGGGCAGCAACATCGCTGATGTTTGGTAGTCGAGATCCTAGCATTGCGTGTATGATATTGGATTCGCCCTTTGCAGATCTCACACAATTGGCGGAAGAAATGGTAGAAAAAGGTCGAGACCAGGGTATTGTTGTCCCGACGTTTGTCGTAAGCATGGCCTTGCGAATGATTACTGGCTCTGTCAAGAAACAGGCAAATGTCAACATCAAAAACATATCTCCCATTTCACACGCCGATAAATGTTTCATTCCAGCATTTTTTGTAGCGGGGGAGCACGACGACTTTATCAAAAAGCATCACGCTGAAGCAATCTACAAAAAGTACGCCGGAGACAAAAACATCATCATCGTAGAAGGAGACCACAATTCACCCAGACCAAAGTTCATGTTTGATTCGGCATCTATTTTCCTGCAAACCTGCCTCCAAATCCCGAGTAATTGGGCTCTTCCAGTCCCTCCCTCAATGAATCTCATGTGCCCTCCATGGTATTTTGAAATGTATCAGAATCGCATGCGAGCGTCTCAAAGAAGTTCAGCAAGGGGATCTCAACAGCAACGTTTGAGCAAAACTGGGAAGGATCCAAGTGGAAAGCATGGAAACTTTGATGGTGACCAGATGGGTATGACACAAGACCGACAGCGAGAAATTCAAGCATCCCTATTCAAAATGCTTGGGCAAGCCGATGATCCAATGATGGATCCGTCAAAGGAAAGCTCTCGTGCGAAACCTCCTCCAACACGACAAGATTCATCGGCGGAGCCGAACGGAAGTAGTCGAACGCCACATGTTGTGACGACAATACCATCAGACGAAGCTTTGAGATGAAAAGTCGTCTTGTAGACACGCTACTACTATGTGCTTACAAAGAAAAGAAAAAAAATATGCACGCTTTTCAGGATGAACAAAAAGTAGACAGCAAGCTGCTCGAGATTGCTTCGATAAATGCTAGAGAAGATGGAAATCCAAAGCCACTTGGTTTTTAAAAAGAAGAATTCTCAGTATGCTTTATTAATAGAATTAGTTATGGATAATCCTATTGGATGATCTGCAGTTGGCCGTGTTAAGCTTAAACTGTTGCTGCCACAACATTTCGGACTATTCAAATGAATTATGGTTATTAAAAAATTCGAAATTAAACTTACTCATATTCAGTTACTGCACGTTGCCATCAAAAGTTAACCTTTCTGGTATACGGCAGAATGTACCCATTAGTGATATGCCGTCGGTGATGATTAACTGTTTCGACCGAATGTACTCTTTTTTCTCGATTGAAAAGGATTTTCATATCTTGGTCTCCATCAACGCCGTAGAAAGATCCGTACGTGAGTGCACTTATATCATCGTCATCTATCGCATTGAATCTTCCTTGAACTTCAACCGGTCCAACCCAGCCTATTGTGTCTTCTCGAGTCACTCTGCTATTAATAATTTCATTGGCATCTCTGCATTCGGAAGGGAAAAAATCAATCAGTGTTTCGTATTTTTTCCTTATTCTCTGTTCGATGGCATTCCGTTTTTTCTTCAGGTTTTGGATTTGAGACTCGATATCACATTTTTCTTCCTTCATACGTATCCTGGAGTTGATCCTTGAATGGCTGATAAGTTTTGATGGTCTCAGGGTTTCTGAAGCACTCCCAGCCGTCATCCATTTAGAGCAATAGCCGTTAATGTAAGACTTAAGATTGGACTCGGCGTCATCTTTCTTTCTACGTAGCTTTTGTATTGGATTATAAGGCAGCTTATCTTCGGTGTAAATAGTCTGGATTCCTTTCCTTGAAAAGACTGCGCGTTGCTCCTCGGCATGTTTCTGTTTGTCTCTTAAAAATTCAGAACTTGTTATTTCGATAGAAGGTTCAATTGAATCTTTGGTGATAGAATCGATTGCCTGAATAATTTCGGACGATTGGGTGACGGAAGGGAGATCTTCGGTAGTGTTTTCAGTGACAACATTGCGAATGAAAACTGTTGGGACTGGTGGCTCCTTTATCATCTTTTTTTCTTTGTGATTAAGACCTTCTACTTCTCGTGATTTCTTCGGTAACAACGTGCACAGAAAGATAACTCCAATACCAATCGATATAACGCCGATAAGTCCAATCAAAACAAAGAGTCCCAAGGACTGCCATTTTAACCTGTCGCCATCTGATCCAACAATGTCGCTGCTTGTCTGTTTCGAAACCATGAGGGGAGCTTTCGACGACTCGGATCCAATTGCAAAAACAGTGGCAAAAAACTCTGTATCTAGGAGTAGTAGGAGGTCGAGAACTTCGCGTGCTCGACTTGTAAGCAACCTTGTTATTCTCTTACCCATATCGTTTGCTTGAAGGTTATCAGTTGTTAGTTCGTATTGGATTGTTATCTCTAATAAAGTCGTTAGAACGTGTGCTGCAATGCTATCAGCATTGTTGATTTCTAGGATAGATGCCGTCGTCGATGGCTGGATATTACTGTCGTTCTGAGACAAGACACGCACATTCAGGTCGATGACTTTCGTTCCTTCATCTTCGTTCAACCCAAGTGCCAGGAAATGCCGAGTTGCCGTTTCTATCGTTGCCAATGGTGAAGTTTCAAAAGAATTGGTAGTGGAAGATGCTGGTAGGTACCAGAATGAAAGCTCAATGTCGACAAGGGAAAATCGGAGTCTATGTTGCTGCCGAAGAGGAGAACTTCGCCCCCCCACTATTTCTTCACCACTCAAGGATTGCCTTTCCTTCTTAACACTTTCTCTGCCTTCAACGACGGTATGTTCACCGAGAGACGATAGTGTCATCAAGAGCAGCGACAGAGCAATAATCACCACCCGGAATCGAAGAAGATTGGAATTCATTAGCTTTGGATTCATGGACACAGTTATATGTTTTGATTGTAGTATTCGTGCTGACGTCCACGCTCAAGATGGATTCGGGGTGCCCTTTTTCCGTTCGACTGACCAACCCCAGATGGACGGAGCGTAGTATTTTTCTTCGACAACAGTGTGAAGCATGATTATGGGGACGGACGAGCGTTATATCGCCCAAGTCACCGTAGACATGCAAGTGAAGTAAAACGAACCAGTCAAAAGAGGTATATGGAAACTAGCGCGCGGAGTCCTATGATCGACTCCAAAAGCACCATAACTCTCCGTTCGCCCGGCCCATGGACGCCAAGGTATATTATTGTGGGGCCGACAAGCGCTACATTGCGTCTGTAATAAGCAATGCAGATGCAGTAGAATGCTTACTCTGGGTTTTGAAGCCATTGGATTATTTCCCAAGTATGCTCCGGCATTTTCTTCACTTTTCAAATCCGGAAGATCTTTCTGTCGAAACAAAATTGAGACAACGAGCACATGATTTAAATTTTTGCATCGCAACCTCATATCATGGAATGGGGGAGTAACCAGCGCACCGAAAGATACCCGTTCCGGCACGTACCGGTACGTACCTTGACCGGATAAAAAACTGGTGAGCACCGATCCGAGATCCGACCCACCATAACGATAATTCAACCACCAGTTACCTGGTACCAGTTGGAACCAAAGGGGCTCTAAACGATTCTTGGTGTGAACACAATTTTTTTTCCAAAAAATCACATTTTTTGATGGCCAGTGGGCGTCGACGAGTTGATGGATTTTATCCTTTCTGATACAAGAATCGGAGTCTCACCAAAAATTTAGATACTATGGAAAATAAATATATTCGTATATTAATAAATATAATGATACTCATTCATGTGACGGGGCTCTCAGACAAAAATTGCCACCGACGAAATTTTGTTGCAGTAAGATGACGTACGTTAGACACGCCTTTTAACCGTAACAAACTGTGTTGGAATACTAGAGCTATTTATTTAGCACATCTTAAGTAACAGTAATAGAAATACTTTTTCGTAGGTCTCTCCACAGGTTTATCGTCGAATGGTTTAGATTAGATATCAACTCGACTAACAGAAACAAAGGCAACACTAATTTTGGCAAACGGTTCACTAGCCGACTGCGCACAGCATAGATAATACACTCTCAGTCTCATTCAGTTTGTTAGTGTTCTAAGTAGCGAGCGAACTAGGACCTCATTTTCTAATCCTGCACTCGTGACGTTAAAAATCAAGATTGCGTTCTGACTACTTGCGTTTGCATAAAACGTCTTGGCTTTCTCGCGTCAGTGTTCAGAGCAACCCCGGGATCCGCTCAAAGGGTACTTTTCGCCCTCTTTCCCTAACCGATCGCTCATCTGTATCCAATAGTAGGGAACCCTTTCAAGATGCAGCCGAATGTCAATGGAACCACTGGAACGAAAAGTAGAGAGGCCAACATGGAATCTCAGCGGGGCAGAAATTTCACGATACCACAGCCTATAGCGGAAGAAGACCAACAGCAACAATCCGAAAAAACGAGTGTTAGAAAGAATCTCGAGAAGGCATCTTTCATGGATTCCGTGAAGAAGTTTTTTGAACCTTGCGTCGGTGCTGTAGATGCTGCTTCCTTCTACATTGGCGAATGCCGACCTTCGGACTACGAAGCGTGCGATCCCAACCAACAGGACAAGGTTGCCGAAGACGTGATAATGAAGCTGAGAGAACGCAACGGCGGCCTCAAACGAAGGAACGAGACCCTCGAAATCCCAACCAATGGCATGTTGTTCGAGGACGACGACGTTTCCGCCATATCTTCCCACACCCTCGAAGAGATGGAACGGCTGAGGCTGGCCCAAAACAGCGGAATCACGAACTTTCAGATCGCTCCGGGCAAGCACCAACCCGGAAATATTCTGCACCCGAGGCCGACGGACGATCCCACAAGCCCACAAGACGCCGCAGACCGTTCTGACGCGGTGAAGTTTCGAAATTGGAGCACCCAAAAGACACCGAGCACCGCGAAACCACAAGAAAGGGGCACCAACGAAGGGAATATCACGCTCTGTGTGTCCGTTTCGGACTCTTCGAGCAACGAAGATGGCGAAAAGGCGTCACCGAAGGCTTCCTCGCCGAAGGAATTCTCACCGAAGACATTCACATCGCCACCCTCGTGGTCAAAGAAGAGCGGGAAAAATAGGGCCTTCAAGACACACCCCGTTGGATAGAAGAAGGACGGAACAAACCTATTCCTTGTCGTCTATCCGTTTCAATTTTTGAACCGCCGATTTGTCCGAAACGAACGAATCGGTGCCATCCGCGTTCTATGATACCAGAATTCGTTCCATTCGGAAATTCCGCAAGATCTGATCGATAGACTTTTACAAAAATTCATACAGTCCACCCCCTCACGAACTACACCATTACAGTATACATATACGTACATTAAAATTGCATGTAAGATTGAAATCATGACGAGCAACATGCACACAAGACCGACTATCGGTCCAGCTATTCAAGCAAAACGCAACTGCATCCGAGATAAGATGCAATTTTCCTACATATCTCAGTTGAAACGTTTCGAAAAACAAAACATAAGGTACTAGAAATCCTTTAATGTTCGAGCTCGTGAACCTATTTTTCATTAGTAGTGTAAGAAGTCTAATAATGGCTTTCAGAAGTATGGAATCTTCGTGTAAATATGCAAAAGTGTATTATGTATGCAGTACTACTAATCTTCTCTAAAAATTGTCTGAGAAATGCCTCCCGGAATGAATTGTCGCATGAACTTCGGCATCTCTATCCATTGATTTGATTCGACACGTCTCGACTCTGTTGGGACGATTTAGTCCCATGATGGTACAAAAGATTTACAAAATGGTGTCGCATGTGATGCAATTCATGCACCGATGGACTCGTTCTTGGGTGGTCGATGACAGCACTGTGTCGTACTGGTGCTGGGTGCACTGTGTTCCGTCGTTGCTGATGGTTAGCGAAACGAAGCGTTCGGTGACAACGGTGGCGAGGACGAGGCCGCGCCAAGCATCGGGCTCGAGGGACGGTATTCGTATATCGTCGTCGTCGTTGTTGTTGCTGCTGTGTTCCCTTCCCCCCTCCGTCGCCGGCGGTCGTCGCTCCCCCAGCTGATGGACCGTGCCCGGAACCGATCCTTGCGCTCGCCCGCCGGCGGAGCCACGTCGTAGTAGTCGCTCTCTTCCAGGTGCAGGTTGATCTTTTCGACAATGAACTTGCCCTCCTTGTACTTTTGGCTGCTTTCGTAGGCCCTGGAATACGTCCACCCGATCATGCTCTTGCACCTCTTGCAGAAAATGTCGTTGACGCTGTGGAGGCCGGTGATCAAGAGCCGATCTTCCGCGGGGCCAATTTTTACGTTTACGCAGTGGTCAAAGAGGTAGGCACGCCCTAGCGGATTGCCATTTTTGGGAGCAAAGCGAAAGAAACATTGGACCAATCAGGAAACAAAAACAATAGGATAACTAGTTGAGAAACAGGGAGGGGCAGGGGCAGGAGTTTGGTTTGGTTTTCTTTTCCTTTGCCTTGTTTTGCTTTGGCTGCCCTCCGTTTCCGGCAAGCAGCTGCGTCGCGGCGACACCCAAGGCAACGTACCGTGGCGTCCGTGAAAACTCTTCGAGATGATCTCGTCGTGGCTAGTGAGGTGGGTCCGGCACTGGGCGCACGTGTAGATCTGGGGCCCGTCGAGGTAGACCAGCGAGTCGTTGAGCTTTCGCGCCGAGCGGGACTGCGTCCGCGCGATCGAATCCGCCAGGGACCGCCGCTCGGACATCGGCGAGAGCGGAGGGGGCTGCGTGCCGGGGGTGGAGCCGCTGGCGTTGGCGTTGCCGTGTTCGCCTCCGTCGCTCCCGGACCTGCGGCGCCGAAGCAGCACCAGCGGGTTCGGGCGTGGGGCCGTGAGCACCGGAGGAGGGGGCTGCCCGATCAACAGCGAGGGGTTCCCCCGGGACGAAATCGAGGAGGACCCCGGGGACGGCGAAACCGCAGAGACCCGCCGGCCGCCCGATGGTGGGCTTGCGTGGGATACGGCAGCGGAAATCGCGTGGGCAGACGCAGAGGAGGTCGACGCGTTGGCGCCGCTCGACATGCTGGTTGCTGGCCTTCGTGCTGGTCGTTCGGTTCGTTTCGTTTTGGTTTGGTTTGGTTCGTTTGGTTTGTTTGTCCGGGGTGTTTAGTTAGTTGCGAGGGAGTGTGAATGCGATGGGCTGGGCAAGAGGGCTGTCCGTTTTGTGGTTCCTCTCTTCTTCCGGACAAACCGTAGCGATCAACAGAGTCGGTCAGGAAGAATACTGATCAAAGAAAAAGAGAAGGAATGAACAACAACAGTGACATGCAACTCAGGCGATCGGCTCGAATGTATCAATCCTGGCGAGCAATAAGGGCAGGGAAAAGAAACAAAGTGAGACGAGAGACCTGAAAATTCATTTGGTCTGTTCTTTCGAAGCGACGGCAATTTCTTCGACTCTCGAGAACACTTTCCGGTTCTTTCGAACGAATGAATCCATCGAATTCTGTTCCAGTTGCGAACTCAAAACAGGTGGGCAAGCAACACGCACCAGCACCTCTTACACACTTCCTTGTTCAATGATTCAACGATTCCTGTGCTTTTTTCTCTCTTGTCCGATTTGATGCATGGGTAGCGAAGAGGAATGCAATCGTTCTTTTCACGGCGGGTGGATGGATCGAGAGGACGATTTCTTTATGGTACGTAGGTAGAAATCGTACTGTATTTTCGAGTTTTGACAGCTCCCTTCGACAGCGGAACGAGGAGAGTGGAAAACTAGGCACCGGGGTGTTGCTTGCGCGTGTGTACTACTGTACAGTTCGAACGGGTACGAGTACTCTCGTACCAGTAGAGCAATGTATTGTACGGGAAGATGGTGTTCGTGTGTTGTCACAGGTCGATTTTGGTTTTTCTTGGACCGCGGAACAGAATAATACTTCTAATACAAGTACATATCGCTACATACGTACAGTACGGTACCTGTACAGAACCCTGGTACTACTCATGATGTGATGGATTTTCGATTGATTCCTCGTCTGTTCGCTACCTTACGTGCTACCGTAATACAACGAGACAAAATGCATGCGAGTGTCGTTGTTGAGGTAACGTACCGTACGGTACAGTATGTTCACGATCTACGCCCCTACTTCTACATCATACAGTTGTACTGCTACATCGTACCGTTACGTTGTGTTCCGCGTATTGGCATGTTCCTGAGGTTCAAGAATGGATGAATCTCATTCAAGCGGTCGACGATGGACGTACGGTTCAGTAGGGCATGTACAATGAGTAAATACAGTACTGTCCATTACGCACCAGCTCACGTACAGCACTGCTCTCTGCGCTGTTGATCAAGGTGTTTCTTTTAGTGGTACGGTACGAACTTACTCGTACCCAGTTACGGTACTGTACCGTTTTTTGTTGTTGTGATGCCCCGTGTCAAAAACTGTTTTCAAGTTTTTTTGCGGGAAGAATCGAATCATCAAATCGGAATTGAATTGAATTGAATTGAATCGAATCGAATCGAATCGAATCATCGAATCGAATTGATTGAATTCGGTTCGGTCTACCTGAAACCCAACTACAGTACTGTACTTTTACCATACGGTACCAAGTACGGTACGTACCGTACGGTTGCAAAAGGAATCATGATGGTTCACGAAACGGCGACGGAACGAGAACAAATCCCAACCCCGAAACAAGAAGAGTGGCGGGCTCCGGAATTGCAACGAAACGCAACCCTTACCGTTCATCGATTACTGTACGGTATCCCCTTTTTTCTGTCGCTAGGAATTTTGTTTTGTACTCCTTCCAGCATCAGGGAATGCAACTGCTGATAATGGGTGATTCCCGCAAACATATTAATATGTAAAAATGAGACCGGCCGGCTCGAAAAAATATGTAAATTACATATTTTTTGGTAGTCGTAGGCCCACGACTACCAAAAAATATGTCATTTACATATTTTTTATTTGGAATCCTTGACTTAACCATATCCAGTCTCGTTTAGTGAAAATCCCAAAGTTCCTGCCACTTTGGAATTTTTTCAAATTGCATGCAATTTATACAGGATTCCAAATTCCGAAAATGGGGGGAAAATATGTAAGTTGAGCTGGAAATCTGTGTCTTCTGTACCACTGAAACGTATTCCCGAAAACATATCTCGAAATATGTTTGCGGGAATCACCCAATCATGGAAGTCGAATAGAATAAAAAGTACAAAAATAGTCGTTATTCGACTGGAATTGTCCTTCTGGGCCCTCCGTTAGTTTTTAAGGAAGACAGTCACCAACCAAGATCAGGGATTCCCATAGGTTTTTCCATGTTGTAACAAAGAGAAACAAAGAGAGAATTGCCCAGGCAATATTCTCTTTGTTTCTCTTTGTTAAAAATTGACGAATCAAAGAGAAACAAGGAGAAGCAATATTCTCTTTGTTTCTCTTTGTTAAAAATTGACGAATCAAAGAGAAACAAGGAGAAGCAATATTCTCTTTGTTTCTCTTTGTTTAAACATACAGAAACATAGATAATATTGCCTGGGCAATATTCTCTTTGTTTCTCCTTGTATGAACGGGAATTGCTCCCATCATTTCACTATGTAAAAATACAGAGAATAGTGCCCAGGTTTAATTTACTCTGCTTAAACAAAGAGAAACAATGAGAAAATAACCCAGGCAATATTCTCGTTGTTTCTCCTTATTTTAACAATGTGAAACAAAGAGAAACAAGGAGAGGCAATGTTCTCTTAGGTTCTCTTTGTTACAACAATGAGAAACAATGAGAATATTGCCCTTTCTAACAAAGAGAATTATTCTCTTTGTTTCTCCTTGTTTCGCGGGGTGTACGGGAAACTATTTAATTTTTTTGAAAATTCTAACTGAGGGCCCTGGAATAAGGGAGTTTGAGGGGGAGAAAAATGTAAAAACATGGTATCAACAAATTTTTAATGTAAAGCATGTACTAGGTTGAACGTGATTTTTTTCTGTAAAAATATAAAGTTAMGGAAATGAGATGTTGGTGGCACGAGACGAGTTTCCTGATATGCTAGTACTATGAAAGATTGAACACAGTACACCCAACTTTCGACTTCCCCTGGCTGCGCACCGCAAAAGACCTAATCGAAGTAGTAGCTACTTGTACTTGCGACTAGAAGCAGCCTAGGACAACTAATACTATTTGTTGTAATTTTGACCAATGGGGTCCTAGACGTCCCGGTAAGGGTTGAAACCGCCAATCACAAAACCGACGATTTTGAAACGGTTAGAGCGGAGATACTGCTCCTAGCAGGAGACAAAGCACTACTACTTGTTGTTGTTGCAGTCCTAGCAGCAGCAGCGACCCCGAGCCAAAGCGGTTTGCTCCCATCGTCGTCCTACACCGAGCAGCAGCAATAGATTCTTGACAATTTTCTTGCGAATGTTTGTATCACCATGCTAGAGGAGGCAACAATTCCTGTTCCAATCTAGAACTTGGATCATGCCAATGCACCGCAATAGCTAGGCCTGCCGCGGCTGCCGATCCAAGCTGCTAGACACAACCAAACAGTATCAAACAACGGCAGCAACCCGTCGACAGCGTCCAGCAGGTAGCAGTTCTGGTGCTGCCGCCAAGCGAGTAGTCTCTTGCCCGATCCTGGGCCAACCGTGCCACCGTGCGCAAACGACCAGTAGCAGCCCGTACAGAGAGTTTTGGTTTTGGTTCTCTTAGGGGCCATCGTGCGAGCGGTGGCATTGGCCGGGCATACCACTGGCAGCACCGCATCTTCGTTGGTGTGTCTGGTTGTGTTGCGCCTGTGTGTCTCTGCGTTTCGTCCGATTGGCGGTGGATCCGTTTGTTCGTCTGTTCGTTCGGAGAGAACTCGGCACCGCATTTCTACGAATAGGCGCCGCGGTGCTTCCACCGGAGTTCCAAGGGATCGGATTCGTATTCGTCCGTGGAATCATCATCGTCGTCGTCGTCGATGTCATCATCGTCTGCCGGGAAGGATTCCACAAAGGCATAGTCCATAAGCGATGTACCGCCGGCACGATCGTTGCCCTTCTCGTCGGCGCCGCTGTCACACCTTCGATCCTGGAACTGCGCCTGCCAGAGGCTGTGGACGAATATGCTTTCCTCGCCCCCAGCGTTGCTATTGCTCTTGTTCTTGTTGTTTGTGTTGTTGTCGTCGTTTTTGCTACAGCTGCTGTTGTTGTATGGGTTGCGGGTGGGATCCGTTCCGCAGTGGACTCTGGTGGTTTCGGTGCAGCTGCCCCCGCGGTTGCGAGCCACCGGTGCCTTCCAGTCGCTGCCGATGGCACCGGCACGGCTCTGGTGCTTCGATCCCTTTTGCTCCGGTGGTTTCGGGAGGAGCGTGACGACCGCATCGATGCAGGCCGTCGAGGCCAGGAGGTCGCCGGCCTCCCTCCTTCCGAACGCCGCGTAGGCGCCGCGGTGGTGCGTGGCGAGGGTGAAGAGCAGCGAGAGGCGGCCTTGCGGCAGAGACAAGGTGCGTTCGATGGCGAGCGCCGTGTCGGCCGCAATGGCCACTGGGGATCGACCCGAAAACCGAGCGATGCAAGGTGCGCGTGGGGGTGTAAGCGGGTGGGAGGGAAGAAGGAGTTTGAGAGAAATGGACAGTTGTGAGAAACAGTCCTCGGTCCACCGTGTCCGAGCCTATGACCGGCAAGCCAAACAAAGAACGCTCCCCGGCAGAGGGTGGCGCCGTGCCGCACGAGGGGCTACGGGACGGAAACGGAAAGGACTCACCCGTTTTCTGCAGCGTGGATATCCTGAGGTTGCGCTGGTGCCACTTCCTTTGGTTGTTGCTGGGCGCCCTCCCGCCCCTGCCTCCCGGCAGGGCATCCCTGGGCACGAGCTTGTCCATGTCCTCGACGACAATGGCGCCGGAGGGCTGCTCTCCGTGCGGCCTCCCGGCCATGGCGAGGAGCTCGTACCAGAGCTCGCGGGCGGAAGACACGCGGCGGATCCGGATCCGTTTCAGGAGGCCCGGGTCCCAGGAGGCACCCGGCGCCCGGCCACCCCCTTCCGGACCGTTTGCCCCGCCTCGTTCCAGAAGCAGGGGCCTGCACCGCAAGGGAAAGGCCTCGTCGTTCGCCCCTCCTTGCAAGCCACGGCCATCGCCGCGGCGATTGCCGTGGCCGTAGCCGCCCGGACCGGGGGGCACGTGCGCGTCATTGTACGGCCGATACACGATCGCGGCAAGGCCGCTGCCGGGAGCCCCGGCCGCCGCGGCGTACGCGAGGTCCATCGCCATGCTGGTCTTCCCCGATCTCGGGGGCCCCCGCAGCAGGATCCGCTTCCGGCCCCCGGTGGCAACGGTTGTGGGAGGTGGGCTTGCCTGCCGGTCGTTTGCCTGCGGAAGGGGGGAGGGCCGCGGGCGGTGGGTGCCGCTGCGGCCGCCATCCCCGGCGGCTCCGTGGTTGCCACCGGCAGCGGTTGTCGTGGCCGTTGGCGAGGGAATTTCTGCACCACCGTCCAAGAGAAGGGACAGCGGGCGACAACGTCCGTGCAAACCCTCGTTGTTGCTTCGGAAGGGCTCCTCCTCGGTGCCGCACGGGGGGGCGAGTCCAAACAGCGGAAGCAACGACGCACCAATCATGTTTGAGTAGTCCTTGTTGTTGCTGCTGCTGTTGCTGTTGCTGTTG